TCATTTCCGTAACACCTTAGGATACTTGCTCTTGTTCTTTCCCCTCTTGAAGACTTCAATTAACTAATTAACACAAGTCTCTAACCCTTTTCTTCTATATCTTGCTTCCTAGAGATGCTTTTTCTTTCTTCTTGCTTATCTATTTAATTATTATATATGCATAAATATATGTAAAATAATAGTTATATATATATATTTTTTTTGTGTATGTGTTTCTCCACGCTCGATTCAAAGTGGTATTCAAGTAAAATTTTTCTAACAATAACAACTCTAGATTTCAAATCTCCGAATACATATAAAAATACAACATATTTTTGCTAATCCGACTACCCATTAATATTTATTTCTTTGGTGGTTGGCTCTCAAAACACCACTTTGCTACTACAAAAACCACGTCACGAGTATGATCAAATCCTTGTTTTCGTTTCCTTTGAAAGTGGTTGTCTTAAATTCAAAGTTAGGAACCAAATGCGTGCATATCTCTTGGACATGAGTCATAGGCCGTGGTCCAAGAAAAACACCCATTTTGGCGTTATATTTTAGAAGTAAAGGGCCAAGTGTGAAGAGTTAGAGATTCGAGTTCTCAAAAGTGCTTCCTCTCACTATATAAACACTCCCTATTCTTTATAATGTTGAGTGTCAATTAATATTTTATCAAAAGCATTCATTTATGGCTCTAGCATTGTATGAAAACATCTCTGCTCTAAATACTATCGGGATAAGACTTGCTTACATATGATATATTAGATTATTCATATACTAAGCCAATTAAAAAGGATTATTTTACAAAATTGTTACTATTTATCCATATTTTTTCTAGTGCATGATCATGAATACTCTTATTTGAGCAAAAAACTGTTTTTCATTGGTTCAGTGTAACCGAATGCAGGTAAGTTCTTTCTAATTACAAATGCCTCTTTTTGGATCTTTATTGCTTCTTTTTTTTTTTTTTTTCATTTTGATAAGTAAAGTATTTGTCTTTTGTATTTCATGTATTAAAAAAATTAGTTATACAAATTACAAATATAATGTTACCATAAGAGTTGACTTAAATTTGATGGCTTAATTTCGCCCTTTGTCCCTTGATTATAATAAATATCCCATTGCGGTCTCTCAAATTCAATTCGTCCCATAAAAATTCCTCAATCCTGATTTGTGTAGCAGAAAAATAATTTTAACCAATTTTACGGCGAAACCACACCAGAAAAATATTGTGGAGCGAGAAATCAACTTTAATATTAATATTATTTTAAAAGGCCACATCATATTTTGGAGAATGTGAAAAAATAATCTCATTTTCTCTCTTTTGCCCCATTTACAATCTCTCTCTTATTCTTTTCTCTTTTATCAATCGGTTTAAACAACGCCGTTAACTTTACCTTCTCCTAATACGTCTTTGTCAAGAACCCTAACAAATCTTTCTTCTCTCACTATGATACTACCTTTCTCCTCTACTTTGATTCCCAAATTGGTTTCATGTTCATTTCCGCTGACGAGATCGACGCTAATTGCCACAATGTTTGTTTTTCAATCCTTCATATTGTCCTCGTTACCAGATGCGACAACGAATGTCGGTCAGAGAGGTGAAGACCGGCGAATGAATTGATTAAAAGCAATTCAAAAAGCTTTGGATTAGAAGAAAATTTAATATGGAAATAGGTACCCACACATTAGTTGTAAATTTTTCCTTTTCTTTTTGGTAATTAACCTTTGTTCGAAACAAATGAATTCCATAAAATTTTATAAAATTAGAAATCTATATTTTTGTGTTTGGAATAAAAAATATATAAATTTCAATTCCATGATTGAATATAACTACATCAAATTTCACAAAAATTAAACAATCCAACTTTTTATGATAAAACAACCCTTCTCTTTCTACAAAGTCAAATTTAACTTATTTATTTTATTAAACTTGACCAAAATCATTTAAAAAATTCATCTAAAAAAATCATATAAAAATTTATTTTTTTAGAAAACTATTTTCTTATTATTGTGTTTTTTTATTTTAATATTTTTCATCTTTTATTTTAATAGTTTTTAGCATTTTTTTCACTATTGAGGAGAAATGCTCAAGTTAAATATATATTTATCACTAAATTACATGCAATAATTTTATTAATTTTTTTTGTTTTATATATTTATTTTAATAAAAATATAAAAATTATATAGCATAACATAATATAATTGGTACTTATTATTTATTTATGTGAAATTACTGTTTCAAGGATATTTTAGAAAGCAAAAGCAAAAGAATTATGAATTTATTTAATACATGAATATGTAGAATTCAATTGAATTACATTTTTTAAATTAATCATACCAAACATGAAACTTCATTCACAAATGAATTCTACTAGAATTCATTCACAAATGAATTTTATATTTTATACCAAATTTATATCAAACAATTAAGCGTTTTTCTTTTTTTTTCTTGAAATTGAGATGATAATAAATTAATAATCATAGGTAAGGAAAATAAGGCATTTCAAATCCTTCCAGTTGGAGGCATTATTACCATTTTTGATTTTTGCTTCTAGAGCAATAAGGAAAAGAAGAGAATAACACAATAGTAAAGTTTTCTTATTTTGGCAAATGATCATAATAATTAATAATTGCACATAAGGAAAAGAAGGTATTTCAAATCCTTCCCGATGGATCATTATTACCATTTTTGGTTTTTGCTTCTAAAGCTATTAGGAAAAGAAGGAGAAGACTAAGGGGAATTTTTCTTATTTTTCAAATGCTAATTTCAATTTTAAAATTTGTAAGACTTTTCCTGTTAATTAATTGCAATTAAAGCTTGAAATCTGCAATATCTAACTTGGCAATCCTAATGGATTTGATTTTTGGATAATGGTACCATAATGGACAAATCATTGTGTAATTTCCTCAGATTTGAGTGCCAGTTCCGGTGTTTCTTCGTTGAGTTCATCGTTGAGAGCATATTAGAGTACTACTTAATTTTATTTAAGGCATCAAGCTTTTGATAGGCGCAGCAATCAGAAAGTATCATAAAATTATCCTAAGAGGCGGCAGTGGCAGTGGCAATGACGTTATTAGAGAATAAACCCAGTGGAATTGATGATGGGTTAAGGAAGATCCTAGTTGATGCTGGAAGAATTGACAATAACGTCATTAGGATAGAAAAAAATAATGAAATTATACAATCCCATTTCTCAGTTTGCCATTTGAAATTACAGTATAAGAAGAAGTAGAAGAAATTAGAGGCTTAATGATGATTATTAAGAAGAGATGACAAAGGTCGAGAGAGGTCGTCGAACGACTAAAAGGTTGGCCAGCCAGGGTAGAGAATGTGAGAAGAAATACAAAGTTGATTCTTAAGGCTAATGTGGAAAATAAAAATTAAAACGTGACTAGGCATTCCATGTAGGCTTTCCAACCTAGACTTACCGAAATTCAGTGTATAAGTCACTTTTGTTTCACACAAATAGGAGTTGAGGAATTTTTGAGACGGATTGAATCCATGGAATGACAATGTGATATGTGCTATAGTTGAGTAATCGCAGGCGAAATTAAGCCTAAATTTCACAATCAAACATGGAATTTAACTTAGTCTCAATACTTGATTTATATAAATTTAAGCTCTCCAATCACAGCGGTTGCAATCGTTTCCTCTAATAATAAGGGTCTATTCGGCAATACTAGTTGTTGTGGTAGTTGTTAGCTATTCTAACAACTTTTAATTGTTTTAGTGTCTGTTCAGCAAAATTAGTTGTTTTAGTAGCTGTTAACTATTTGAATAACTTTTCATACAACGGTAAAAGCTGAATGTTACATAAGTTAACTTTTTACAAAATGTTACTATAACCTCTAAAAGCTAATTCAAACGCTATAACGTTTGATGTAACATTTCCTAAACCTCTTACAGATATTATAAATATTAAGTTACCGAACAATATAATTGATAGACAAAGTCAAAACACTAAAAAGCCTCTGAAACAATCTAATTGATAGACAGAGTTAAAACACTAAAAGGGGTCTGAAACACTGTTGCCGAATAGGCTCTAAACTCAACTCATAAGTGGACACAACTATTTTAACTCAAAGCCAATCGGTTGGGAGTGCACTTAAATGGCTAGTTTTTATATTGATTAATTGCTAAGTTTTGAGAATATTAGTTGATATCTTAGTTTTTGTTTATGGAGATTAATAGGTGTAAAATTTTTCTTATATATTATAATCCTTAATTTATTAAATGACTACTTTCGTAAGAATAAAGGATTATCATGGAATCTGCTCTCTTTTTATTGAGCTAGACACAAGCTTTACATTAAATTTATGGATTCTTCAAAATCTTCTAAGAATTGTGAGAAAGAGAGCATAAAAATGTAAACTTACAAAGAAAAGAGAGACAAGGTTTCATCTTCACCTTAAAAAACATAATTATACAAGGTTAAAATATAAGGACTACCCTAATTAATCAGGAATCCTATTAATTAATATTATTGCAACTTTCTATATTGTACAAGTAAAATAAAATGCAAAACTATTGGGCCCTAGCTATGCAAGGCCCAATACCTTGTATACAAATTATTAGAAACACACTAGGATTCAATCAGGCTGAAGATTGTGGGCCCACGTCAATGATTAGTGGATTGGAAAATCTTAAACGATATACATAATGACAAAGCCCAAGAGCGAGTAAATGTTCTCTTGGGCTCTTTTCCGTGGGCTTAAGAAACTTCCAATTTCAACCTGAAATTTGACTTGTGGCAGCGACCAATGGGGGAATGAATCCGACTCTGCTCCATGTCATCCCTTTCTATTTCCTTTTCTTATTAATTATCTATTAGTCTCTTTCTCCCACGAACTAAATCCCATTACCACCTCCTACTCGCGAATGCCATCAGAAACGACATCGTGGGATTTCAAACTCTGTATTAAATCACAATAATACCCTCCTTAGTTCCGCTATTTACATTACTAGAATTCCTTGGTGTCTTTTTAAAGCGAGTACTTCCATTTTTTGTCATACTCGCGAGTACCCACACTCTCTCTCCCCTGTTCAAGCCAACCAAAATCCCTTCTGCTCCGTTCAAATTCAAGAATCCATTCACCTTACAAATTCAAAAACTAACCTGAAAACAAATACTTTTTCTCTCTTGCTCTTTTTCTCTGATTCCCTTATGGCTATTCTGATGCCGGAAACACTAACCAGAGACCAGTGCGTTTACATGGCCAAACTAGCCGAGCAAGCCGAACGGTATGAGGAGATGGTCCAGTTCATGGAAAAGCTTGTCATTTCCTCAACTCCTGGCTCTGAGCTTACCGTCGAGGAGCGGAATCTTCTCTCTGTGGCCTACAAGAACGTAATCGGCTCTCTTCGCGCTGCTTGGAGGATCGTGTCGTCGATCGAACAGAAGGAGGAGAGTCGCAAGAACGAGGAGCACGTGGCGCTTGTGGAAGGGTATAGATCGAAGATTGAGACCGAGTTATCGGCTGTTTGCGCCGGAATTTTGAAGAATCTGGACTCTAATTTGATTGCGTCGGCAGCGGCGAGTGAATCCAAGGTGTTTTACTTGAAGATGAAGGGAGATTATCATAGGTACTTGGCGGAGTTTAAAGTTGGGGATGAGAGGAAAGCTGCTGCTGAGGATACTATGCTGGCTTACAAGGCTGCTCAGGTAATGACTGATGATTTCAATTTTCCTACAGAGTTTAGCGCCAATTTAGAGTTTGGAATTTCCAGATATATAGTGTTTGTAACCATACATTATAAAGTCTGTTATTGATACTTGTTCTGTTACTGATACTTGTGCTGCTAAGTTACGTATCTCTCATTTAAAAAGGAAATAACTCAAGTTGGTAATATTAAAATGGTATGGAGATGTATCATGTTTTTCTATAATAGGATGCATCTTTTGGTATTGGAGGTGGATGAATTAGGAATCTATGTGCATTGTTTGAGCTGTTCAGTTCCATTGTGTAAAAATAGTTTTGATTTGCGTATAAACAGCTTATCTAATTATGGAAGTCAGTTTTGTCTTGTGATTTATTCTGCATATGGTGAAATTTGAGCATGGCCTGGATACTGATTGCTTGCATGTCCCGTTTGTGCAATTAATGATGTTTATTTGGTACCCTTCTGCTGCTCTGTCGTTCTCTAAGTTGTTTTGATGGTTATATTTTGTTCTCTACTTTTTATCAAAGTGGCTGGTGCATGTGGATTAAGTAATCATATTTGTATTTTTCAGGTTGTTCTTCTTCGATCAAGAAGATGAGCTTTTGCTAATAGCTTCTCTAACTTGTTTTCTCTTTTTTATTTTGGGCGTGAAGGATATTGCTCTTGCCGAGCTTTCACCAACGCACCCTATAAGGTTGGGGTTGGCACTTAATTACTCAGTGTTTTACTATGAGATACTCAATTCATCAGAAAAGGCTTGTAGCATGGCAAAGCAGGTTCGCTCCATCCTTATTATTGTTGGAATTTTATCGGAACTTTTTTATTTCTATAAGTTTTTGGTTTGCTAGAGGATCTTTTTTATTCATCATGATAGAAACATCTTTCCTTCTTGCGTTAGAGAAATGTGTCAGAATTGAATACATATATCAACATGATTATGCCAATTTTTTGTCTCATTCTCTTAAAATGTAAGAAAATAATTTTGCATGTGTTTCATCCTCTTTTTGCTATGTGCTTGACTCCTTGGACATAGGATGTGGCCTAATTATATTAAGAACAGTGATAAATGGCTTGTCGACTTGATATGGCTAAAGCGCAACAGCTTGGCATAGAAGCTAAGGCACAAAGAAAGATGAGCACATTCATACTAAAGTAAAAGGGCTATATCCAATCTTGGCTTGCCTATGTTTTGTGCTCCTATAATACACTAAAGATGGCTCTTATATTTGCCCAATCCCTGGGAAATCTGACTTGTAGGTTCCTACACCGCTTATAAACTGGGTCATGGATGAATTTAACAGCATGAATGTTACTATGTACAAGCAAATATTCGACCTTCTTTCAGGTTCTGTAGTTTATTTAACTAACAGCTAGCTTTTGGTTACCATGAATAACCTCTGCACTTTAGCCATCTGCAGGAGCTGGAAACGGCACATGGTTATTATTGAATTCTAGCAGAATGCATAACCCGATCAGAATATTCATATGTGTTGGCATATCTGGCATGTGTCTTGATTCTAACTGATATGCTAATTACATTGCCACATGAAGCAGTTGTCATTGATGTCATTCTTGTGCTTACATTTTTTTAAATAGATCCATAACTTACTGGATGTTATTTAATAATTTATCAATTTGACTTGTTTAAATCGAATTTTCTTTTTACTTTCAATTTCAGGCATTTGAGGAAGCCATTGCTGAGCTGGACACTTTGGGTGAGGAATCCTACAAAGATAGTACTCTCATCATGCAACTGCTAAGGGATAACCTTACTCTCTGGACTTCAGATATGCAGGTCAGTGTAACTACATGATTGGGTGTTCATGTACTAAACATTTTTGCTTTAGCATTCTAAAACTAAAGATAAATCCTGGATTGTTGAATCTAGCATTAGCAAAACAAATATCTGTTTTAGCCAGTTATGATCTTTTTTCAATTTTCCTTCCCTGTTTGACATGGAAATAACTAAAGCTGCAAGCATCGTGGGGTTTGATGCAGGAGCAGATAGATGAGGCATAGATGGAAGGAATTCTCTTGGCTCTTCCAAGTGGTGAGCTAGAATTCTTATGAACTGTAATCTAAATTATGGCATGTTTGTGTAAAATTTGCTTTGGTTTCAGCATCCCGACAGTTCCAAAGATCGCGCTAGCTATGGTTAGAAATGAACGAATTTCAATTCCCTGTTGAGTAATTGATCAATCATAGTAGTGATGAATCTTCAAATTCTGGTTATAAATATCATATATACTTTCTTAAGGTGGTATTTTGATTCTGAATAGTAACCTACATGTCTGTCTGTGATGCCCATGTTTCAATTCTTGTTTTACTCGTAAAAATAATATGCATTTCTTTCTTACGTGTTATATCATTTTGCTGAACAAAGATTGGGCAGATGCTCGCGTGTTTCCAGTTGGACACCATGTACTTAGCATGTAAATCCAATTAACCAGCTTGGCGTGTCCATATAATTTTCAATTTTTCATGATTCCAATCGAGGAATATAATTGTTGGCCTCGTTTTGTCAACTTATGAACCAATAATGTTTATCAGGTATTACTATTCACAATATTTGCACATGGAATTGCTTGGTTGTCGATGAAGAATTTCATCATGGCACCCTATTAATGTTATTAGTTTGATGAAAATTGATTTTAGATTAATGTGTTTAAAATATATATATATAAGGGTAAGATTTAGAAAGTTCATTAATTACTCTTTGTTTTTCTCAAGGTGATAAATATTTGTAGATGACTTATATTTATAGATAGAGAGAGTATCTAAAGTATTTTGTTCAATTTATTTTTTTTTTTTAATGTTTGAGACATTCAGAAGAATTAATAGAAAATGTCTTTCACTAAAGTTGAAATTAAAAATTTTTTAAGTAAAATATTTCTCCTTATTAAGGGTAAATTTTGTTTAACACATTAAATCCCATGTCCGTACTGCCAATTAATGTTGGTCATCAAGGACCACTGCCAACCATTGATAACCACTATGATTTATTATTTTTATATATTTATTTATGTTTAATAAATTGTTAAAAAAAATGTGAGGTCTATAAATATTTTAGTCTCATAAATTAAAAAAATTAATATATTTTGTTAATTAAATTGCAATATAACAATCAAATGGCATAAAATAAATTATTTAAAAATAATTTTTAAAGATAAATTATTTCTCAAAAATAAACAGATACTTAAAATCATTATTTTTTTGGCTAGAAATTGAAAATTAAAATGCTATATTTATTTAAAAAAGAAAATTTGAAATGCTATAAAAGAATATGAGTTTAAATTTTAATTTGATAATAAATGGATCCTTTTTTTTTATTTTTTTGAGGAATCCAATCTTTAAGAGTGCCCCATGATCCACACGCCTTTTTATACCTTGGATTGGACTTCAAGTCCAAATAATAGAGTAGCCTGCTAACTACTTGAGCAGTAAGCATCCAAATTTCGATGAAGGGGAGCCCAACTGAGCACATTCGAGACTAGCCTCGCCTGTATATTAAAAAAAAAAAAGTGATTTTATTTTTAATATTTGATTCCATCTATTATTTTTATATTTTATATTTTTATTAAAATTTTGAAAATAATTATTATTTTATTTTCAAATTTATCAACAATAATTATGTTATTCTTTTATTTTAAAATAAATAGTAGTTAATTATAACAAAATACAGAGATAAAATATTAATTATCCCTAATTGTAGTAACCAATTTCAATTAATTAATGATTAAAGAAAAACAGATTAATTAGCGTTATTAAAGGAGAGAAGTGTAAATTCAACTCCGTCCTAGAAAAACGGGAGGAACAGAAAACCCTAGCAACACAGTCCATTTCGAAGCAGACTTGTCTTCAATTTAAAGCCTTTATATCACTTCTTGAGCAAGCACTGCTTGAACACCTCTCAACCAGCCTCCTCAAAATGGAGCTGTGCACTACTCAATCCATTTCAAATCTCCCCAAAATTTTCGCCGCAAACCCTAGTCTCCTCCGTTCTAAGACTTCCGTCGCTTTCCGGCAAGCCCAATTCCCTCGCTCCATTCAAGGTGGCAGCCTCCACTCCCGTACGAAACGGAACCCTAGGTTTTCCTTTGTCATTTTTGGATTTTGTGTTATAGAAAGAAATTTTAGATTTCTTTGTCTTTACTGCCTTTGCTTTACTTTATCAGGATTTCTATCAGTGGCAAGGGCAATTGAGGAAACTTCGACCTTTGCTACCGGAGAACGTGATAGTGCAGTAGCCGTGGAGGTTGAATCTCCTAGTGAAAAGAAAGTGTATAACGAAAGCATATCAACTGAACCTCTGCCTAAGGAGGATTCTCCAGTTGATGAGCAAGTAAATGATTTTTTGGCTAACCTGAACTTTAAGGTTTGTTTTCAGACTTGAATTCGCTTTTTTTTTTTTTATGCCTTCAATAGTCTGTATTTTATATGCTTAATTGCTTAAAAAAAAATTGGTGCATAGAAATGAATAGTTAGTTGCTAAGATGATGCTATGAATTAGTAGAAAGCGTATTTTGATTGCTCGATGAAACTTCGACGTGTATGTCGATCCTGAGCGGTTACCTGAGCAACATTTTATGTTTTACAGTTCAAGTATTTCTTTTAATGGCCTTGCTGAAACTTTTATTTTCTTAAATTTCCATTTCTCACCTTTGATTATTTTTAGAGCTAGAAACACAACAGTATTGGTATTTTGTTTGAAATTCTTAATCTTTTTCAGTATTCATAAATCATTAAACACTGGAGGATGATAGAACAATTGAAAAAGTATACAGGTTTTAGTTTTGTGATTATTTTCATAATGTAATTGTTCTTGGCTTCTATTTTAGTTATTTGTTTTGTAATTAAACTTTTACATTTTCCTCTAATTCAATCGGTCATTGTTTTCCGTGAAGATAGTTTGAACGAATTGAATTCTTTTAAGAGTTCAATTGTTCTTATCTGCTTTTGCAACTTCTTATATTTGTTGTTTAGTCCTCTTTCCCCTCTTTTACCCTTTTCTGATGGTCCTCCATTTGCTCTGGTTAAGTCCTAAAAAAGATTTTATCTTTAAATGTTTTTCCATGATTCTCTTTACTGTTGTACCAGTACTAATTGTTGTCATTTTGTCACAATTGTAACTAACCATAGTACACTAAGATTAGGGAATTGTATGTCTTATGGTAATATTTATGTATGTTGTAAATTGCTTTTGCCCTCTCTCTCACTTCACATGTGCGCATACATGCGCTCTCATAAATAGCTTCTAATAGTAAAAGACAATGATGGTGATTATATGGTTCACTCGTCAGAATGGCTGATTGGCCTTGTCGATTCTATATGCTTTATTATTTTTTTTTTCTTTTCAATGTGGTGTTAACATTTTGATGATCTTTTATGTGGCTTATTTCAACTATGGTTGCTGAACTTTCTGCTTTTTTTAGCACGGTCACTAAATTATCAATTTGTATCAGCAAAATTACTTTAACCTTTTATGTCAATAGAATAGAGGATCAAAAAGGATTTCATAGAAATAACTTGATATGATAACCAAGTTACATTTGTCCTTCATGGTTCTATAATTAAATATAGATTCTCTCTTAGTATATCAAAGCTTTTGCACAAATGCCTACAAAAATGTTCAGTGAGTCGCTGATATAAATTGAAATTTAGAGACCGAAGTTGGTGCAGAGTTCAGTTTAGAGCCCAAGTTAGTGCAGAGTTCAGTTTAGAGCCCGAAGTTAGTGCAGAGTTCAGTGATTATGGATGAAATGAAGTTCATTCTTTTCGCATGCATGAATTTTTAATGGATATTGGTTGCTATGATGAGTAGCAGAAACTCATGAAAGTTTGCATAATAATTGCTTGATGAAATGCAATCCTGAGCGGTTACCTGAGCACCACTTGGTCAGATAATCTAATTTTCATGCGGTTTTGAGTCTGCTTACATGTTTTCTGTCTTTTTTATATTTTTGCTTCTCATTCTATAATTCTCTTGCTTCTTTTTTTTTTTTCCTTTTTTTTTTTTGCCATAAAACTTTTTGAATTCCCAATCTTTGCATTACAAGACTGCCTCAAAATGGTTGCTATGATGAGTACCAAAATGTTGCGAAAGTTAGTGTGATACTTGATGAAATTTCATCCTGAGCGGTTACCTGAGCAACACACATCTTTGCCTTTTTTTTTTTTCTCCAAGAAAAGGATTACTTTCAACTTCACCATTTAATATATTTTCTTACTAATTCTAAATCTTGCATTGATTATTTATCTCATTATCAAAATGTTTTTGTATAAATTTCTAAAATTTTTTATTGCTTGTGTGGAATGTTAAAGGACAATCCCATTTCTACCAAAAAAAAAAAAAAAAAAAAAAAAACAATCCCATTCAGAGTCGGTCCATATTGAGTCTTTGGATTTTAGCTTTTGAGCTCTTTGGATTTTTTTTAACTCCATTCCTAATGATATTAAGGATATTTATATGGGTCCTTATGGATGGAGAAGTCTTTTAACTGTATTGGAAAGCAAAAGAATTAGTTATTTGAATTTGAACAAGACAAAATCCTTCTCATATGACAGTATCTTCATAGTCATATCACATCAAAACCTATAGTTTTCAGTCACACATCAAACTTCTAAGTTTGTCAGCTTTTGTTATATTGAACACGTGCTTGTTAAATTTGCAGTTTGACTCTGAAGATACCTATTCTATTTTGTTGTACGGTGGCGGTGCCATTGTCGCAGTGTGGTTAGCATCAGCTGTTGTTGGTGCTATTGATTCTATTCCATTGGTAAATATCCATATACATTTTTTTTTTTTTGACTCGGGTTTTATAAAATTGTGAATGGTGTTGTATATTATCTTTTATTGAACATGATTTTGTTTTCTATGAATTCAGTTTCCTAAGTTATTGGAAGTTGTGGGTCTTGGCTACACCTTCTGGTTCACTAGCCGTTATTTACTGTTTAAGGTGAGTCATCTCAGAGCAAATTGAACTTGACAAAATTTACTACTAATAGAAATACTGACCAAGAGTGATCATGTTTTTTTGCAGAAAAATCGGGATGAGTTGGTTGCTAAAATAGAAGAGCTTAAGCAAGAGGTTTTTGGCCCAAGCGATGATTGATGTGCAAGACATATACATATATCTCCCTATATATATATAATTATTCCCCTATATAGTATATATATATATATTATATTTAATATATATAAATATATATATCTTGCCATAATTTTGGTGTGCTATACTTGGTTGAATGATAGTTAGATATGCGTTATTTGTCGATATTTAGGTTTCAGTAGTTAATGACTAATGTCAATAAATAGACAACATGTCTCTTTTCCATGATTGAAATGAATATAAATTTTATATGTATGCGATATTCTATATATTGCCTTCAGCTGCATTAGTTTTACAGTCTTCTGGGACTCGAATCAGATTTGTTGCAAGTTTTGGGAAAGAATGTTACAGCGGATTAGGGCTAAATTGATTAGCTCAACAAGTTAAAGCCCAAATATGTTCTTGTCATTTTAATTAATATGAAAATGAGTATTATTTTCAATTAATTTGTTGGCATAATAGTTGATGTATTAAGTTTATCGTCAAAGTCTATCTCTAATTCCAGAAAAAAGGGAAAAACCAAAGAAGTCTACCTCTATTTCCAAACTAACTCAATTCAGGTATCCTCTGATTGTAGCTGATCTGCGCATTAGCCACCACTTTCTAGCTGGGACGATTGACATGTCTGATGATGAAATTGAATGACGGTATGTTTTTCGTGAATTTCACAATTTAAGCAATTTATAAATAAGTATTTTTATTAAAAAAGAAAGGTAGTTTTCAAAGTTGGTGAATTTAACTAATGAATTATGACAGTAGAATTCATTTGTAAATGAATTTTAAGTAGAACGAGTTCATTTGCAAATGAAATTTGTCATATTTGATATGTTACAATTTAAAATAAATGATTTAATTAAAATCCACAAAATTATATTTGGAATAAATTTTTAAATGAAAATTCATTTGTCTTTATATTTTATAACACGCTTGACACAATAATTTTCCAAAAATAAATTACAAACATCAGTTATATTTATTATGTACAATATGATAACTTGTTATTTTTTTATTAAAATATAAATAATAAATTTCATATAAATAAGTATACTAATATTTCATGCTAATTAATTAATTTTAATAAAATGTAATTAATATATATAATTAATAACATTTCTTATGAATATTAATTTTCTATATAGAGTAAAAATTTTCTGTTTTAAGTAATTAAATTTGGAACTAAAAAATATATAGATATATAAATATAGCATATAGATAGATATAGATATCACCAAACATGCTCGATTTTTTAGTTTCACAGTAATAAAACTAGTATTAAAAAAAAAAAAAAAAAAAAAAAGTCATTGGTTTGAAAATTTTCATTCCAAACACAACATTTTAGATTTCCAAATGAATTTCACAAAATTTTATGGAATTGAAAAAATAATGAGATACAGAAAAAAAAATGCGTCTAAATTTGACCTTTTATACGCATTTTGTTATTGTGAATCACTATTAACAAATTTGATGTTATCAGAATAAAGATTATTATTACATAAGGATAGAATTTAGTAGAATAAAGATTATTATACATAAGGATAGAATTTATTTTTTATGTTAACAAAAAATGTAATTCTTCTCAATTAAATTTATGCTTCCAGTATCAATGCGACTTGTTCAAAGCATCTTAAATATGTGATCCTGACCAATAAAATAGAAAAAAATTTTTAATTTGGTTCATAAGATTGGGTATGGATACATTCAAGACAATTAGAAGTGGATACACCCGCAATGCTGCCGTAAATTATTTTTAATTTAAAAAAAAAAGAAAAGTCAATTGAAAAAATAATTTAATTCATTAATAATTAAAAAATTAAAGTTCGGATGAATAATTAAATTTTTTTTATGAATCAAATTTAATAATAACAGTTAAATTGAAATAACTAAATAAATAATACTCACATTCACATAACTTGTTGGCTTAATTTCTAAGCAGTAGATTATGTAAATTGAATTATACATTTATTTTTCCCAATTTATAAAATTAAAATTGGAGATAATTTTTTTAAAAAATTACTTAATCATTAACGTAAAAAGAGTAATTGTAAAAATTGGACACGCGATGGAAATCAGTTTAATAAAAAATAAAAAATTGAAAATAGAGTTGATAAAACCTTGTCTTTAAAAAATTATTAAACCATTCTTTTATACGGATCTACCATTGAAATTTTTTAATTAAAATTATGTTTAATGAAGATAAAAATTTAAAAAATGAAATTAAAATGCCTTTCTATATTGTAAAGACTTTCTCTATTCTTAAATGTGATGAATTAAGTTTTACAATTTTTTTTTAAATTTAAATAATTTTCTTTTCGATTATATACAAAAAAAAAGAATGATAAGTATATATGAATAATTTTATATTTTCATACAAATATTCAATGTATAAAATATGTTAGTAAAAAACTAAAAGTAAGAGTTTTAAAACACATAATTAAAAATCCTCAATTTTATCATTTATTTTATTTTTTTGTCAAATTAATAGTATTTGAAAACCTAGATATATAAATTTTATATCAAAAAATAGTAAAGTTTTATTGTAAATTATACATCTAATTCATCCAAATTCCAATTAGCATGTGATTTTATTAAAATCATAAGTACATTTATTATACGTTAAATTAATAGTTCTTAAAATTTAATTAGAAAATAAAAAAAAAATTCTAATAATGTATAAATTTAGAGAAAGATACTCATTATAAGTATTTATATGGAACAACAATTAACCAATACATATTTTGGTAGATAATTATAAAAAGAAGTCTTGGTATATTTTAATTTTAATATAATTTACTGTTACTGAAAAAAAAACTAAAAAAACATATAAATTCTATAATCTAGATTAATATATATAGCATAGACACATTCTAACAAAATACATGAGCTATATATAAGAACCACAATATTCTACAAAATACATGCAGCTGCGTTTATAATACGTGTAAAAATAAAAGAAAAATTGCCAATTCACTTCAAGTTCGTGGGACCTACTTTTACTGCTAAACGAACAAAAACAAGAAGGTTATAGTTCACCTCCAGGATTAATTATTCTTTTGATATTTGGAGAGTATTATATTTTATGTTCCCGCTTTCCAGAAGGTCGGTGTATGCCATTAGATCAAGCGGCTCGCAGTCTCATTTATTCTATTTATTAGGCTTTCATTAGGGCATTGTTTGGATGTTTGAATAACAAATTCAGAATTGTTTGGCATTAGTGTTATTTTTCCAGTAATTAGCCTCAAAATTTCTTGTTGCGAGCAATAGAGAAATTGATTCCAGAAAACAACAAGAAAAAAAAAGTCGGAAATTATTTGGACTCTCCAAAACTTGTAAAAAAAAAAAAAAAAAAAATCATAACCAAACAAAGCGTTAGCCCGTCTCTTTGTTTCTTCAAGGCGAAGCATTCGTCAAAAGAGAACAATTATTAAAATAAAAATATTCCAACTTTTTAAGTCTGGATACAGCACACTCCCAGTCAGGCAGTCAGCACTGAGGACAGAAAGCTGCTGTCGCTACTGCCTTTGACACGTAATCAATGTGGGTCCCAGAATCATGCTGATTACCACCGTTAATTACGGCATTTTCAACCTCAAATTCCAAACAGAAAATAGTTAATGTCCTTTTACTTATTTTGTTTTTCTTGTTCAACTATGTTAACTACCAATATCCCGTACTACGTAAGATTAAAGAAAATTAGAGTATATTAATATATATATTTTTTAATTTTATCTGTATTTATTATGTGTAAATTTCTTCTTTATATTTATTTTTCTTTCACTGCATACATATATAACTAAAGGTATTTCATTATATCAAAGCATGAAAAAATAAAATAAAAATACTACTCTAATCATAAATTAGCATTTGTTTTGTAGTAAAATTAATCGTAGAGTTTTTAATTTTAAAAAGCATAATTTAGACATTTTACTATGTATTTTATAAAATTAACATTTTCTAATTTTTTTAATTATTGTGAAACAATGAAATGTTATTGTTAAAGTGATATGGAAAGAGTAACGATTATATCCATGTCTCTACAATAATGATAATAGTATAATATTGTACCAATATCAATAGAAATATAATGCATGTTTAAGTGAATTTTATTTGCAAAGTCATGGATTTAAAACTAACCCTTCGTTCTAAAAGGAGATGAATAAAGATATTAGAGAAAAGTAACGAAGAATCGACAATTTTCTTTCTATTTATTATCCATATTTATGTTAGGATATAACGAAGGACAAAAATTATTTTTCTTTATTTGGAAAGGGAAAAGATGAAAACAAATATTATTATGAAAAAATTAATAATTATATCCTCGCTTAAAACATGAAGTATGTAAGAAAATGTTAAATTTATTAATTAATTTGAGGTATTTAAATAATTTAATAAAAAAGAGTAAAATTTCTACTCTTCTCCGTTATTTTCTCTCTAATTTGGAGAGATTCAAAACATGTAGATCCGAATGAAAAATAAGTGAATATTATTTCCTCAAATATTTTTCTCCTCTTTCCCAAACAAAAGAAATACCTTTTCTCCATATATTTTCCATAATTATTTTATTTCTTTCAAAAAAATTACACTAATCCAAACAAAGGGTAAGAGTTGCTGGTATTGAGAAAACTTTACCTAAATATCACCTCGGCTCAACAGTGGAAATATATATAAATAAATAAATTGACATAGGAAATTTTATATATTTTTATCAATTTATAGATAAATTTTATTGGTAAATGAAATTCTCATTAAATCAAGTAATATATCATGTTAGATAAAACAATAAAATAAGTTGAGACAAAAAAAACCTATTGCATAATGCAAAAATATAATTGATATATAATAATTTTGAACCTTTTATTGAATGCATTAGGCATTACTATAATAAATACAATCTTTAGATAAGATATTACAAATCTCATAATAATAATAATAATAATAGTAATAATAATAATTTTTTAGAAATTGCCAGTTTTTAATAAGAGCAAGAAATTAGTATTTTATCAAATTAAGACAAGCAACTATTGTGCTTATGCAACGCACATATTGCATGATCGACCAAACAAATCCTAAAACCTTAAAAAACAAAAGAAGAAAATGAAACTGGCAAGTAACTACAACATTCGACCGTTGTAAAAAAGAGCGCGTTCCCATTTGCCACGTCAGCTTCACACGTTTAACCACACGTCTCCGTTAAACGCTCTCTGTTAACAATGAGATCATATTTTCATTAACGCTAATAAATCATTCATTATCTCTAAAAATCTTCTAAAAATCACACACACTCCTTTTTAAACATAACGTTTATAATTTCCAAATTTCCATTTTTTTTTATTTATTTATTAATATATAGAAAAGAATTTGTCTGTAAAAAGCATTTTAAAATAATAAAATATCACAAAGCAGAGGGAACTTGAAACAGTGGAAAAAGAGAGAAGAAAAAGACATCTATCAAATACACTTAACAGGAGCAAAAGAAAAACCCATTAATTTTGCGCTCTCTTCAACTTCTAGTGTAAGTAATTTACTATCCTCTCTTTCTCATTGCATTAAACCATTAATGGAGTTCCTGCAGAGTCTTTTTTCTTTACATTATATGTAAGTTATTTTATTGATATCGTCTTTTGGGTATATTTTTTTTATTAGATTTTTTCCTTTCTTGTTTGTGTATTTTAAGGCAGTGAATTTTTCTTAATCCGCGATTGATTTTGCTCAGTCCAGTATTCAGTATTCGCTGGTTAGATCTTATCAACCTTTTCTTTTAGTTGTTTGGGGATGATCATTTAAAAGTAGCAGTAGTGTTTTGGTTTTAGAATTTGATACACTCGATTTGAGTTTTTGGAATTTTTTTATACTGTCATTGTTGATTAGGTGAAGTTCGGTTTTTGTGTTTGAAGGTTTTAACCTTTTGTTTCGTTATGTTACTAGAAAGGTTAAAGAAAGTAGAGGAAAGTAATATCTACACTGAAACAATCAAAAAGGTTTCTCTTTATTTTATTTTTGTTTTGCTTAACCGTCATGGTTTCAGTTTTTGCATTGAATTCTTTCTTGTGAATTGAAGGTTTCGGTCAAGAAGGAAAGACAATGTTCACTGATAGACGAGAGGTGAGCCAACATTGACGCCCTTCACTTTGAGGTTATGGGTAGTGTCTAATTTTAGAATTTCTTTATATAGTATGGTTTACTATATGGCTCTGACTTAAGTTTACAGAATGTGTATCAGGGAATTGTTACCAGGAGGATTGTTATTTCCAATTCAATTTTGACCGAGAAACCAAGTTCTGACCCTTTTGGTCATATAAAAAAGGGTGGCCAGGGGTTAGGCTTACCTTCTTCAGCGAAATTCCGAAGTAGGCAATTGGCATCTGATGCAGTTCCTGCGTCTCAAACCATACCAGTTAGTAGGAAAGGTGGTGGGTCTGGATCAGACATGGACACATCTTCTGACTCAGAAGATGAGATCTATGGTGGACAGTACTCACTGGAGTCATCCCCCCAAGATGACAAAATTCCCAATATTGCAGCTGCTAGACATATCTCTCCAATGAAAAGGAATGGGAATTATGTTACTGATAAAACTCACTCCAACTTGAGTATGTCTGGGGAGTCATTTTGGCAGAAACAGGGAAGTGCTGCTGCAGAAGATCATCAACTTTCAGATTCTGACATTAGCACTCAAGCTTCATTTATGCAACAAAGAAGCACTAATTATTCTGCCTCCCATAAACAGGTTTTCTTTCCAAACTGTAACTCTAGGTACAAAACAGGAACGGCTTGTTTATCATGATGGGTGGATTCCATAACAGTTGAACACATTCTGTTGATTACTGAATTTTTATTTTCATCATGATATAACTAATATCAGAATGTGGGAATTTTTGGAAACTAAATTCTTTTGGTCTTCCTTGAGCATGATCATATAAAAAGGAAATGAACTAGCAGTGATCCATTCTTGCCTGCATATAGTGACTAGTTTGGTATCCTAATATTATGCATGATATTTGCTGAAGAAACCTGTACATAAATGAATAGAAATGACCACTCTTGACTTCATTAAGTCGATTATATAAATCCAGCACAGTTAAATTGGATGACTTGTATCTGTCACTTTTTTCATACAGGATCAAGCTTGCAAAACTTAGAATATTTTGCGCACTTTTTGGGATTTTCTTAGTTATTAGAAGTCAGGTTTTTCTTATCATTAGAGCTTATCTAATACAGAAACAATTGACTTTTAGAACCATTGAACACCTGTAATTTAGTAAAGATCATGGGGCAGCATTACATCAAGTACAGAGGGTGGACCATTGGTTTCGACTTTCCAGCCATATAAACCTTTGGGGCCTATAATTGTACTAGCCTAAACAAGTTAGTTTAGCTATAGGTATGGCTGCATTTGTTGGCTCTGTGTGCTTGATAATGCCTATATAGTTGTGAGGCAAGAATGAATAAGATAGGAAATCACGTTAGTAAAATTTTAAGTTTGGGGTTAATAATCATAAGAGCAGACTATTCTCAAAGTTGTAACATGGCCAGTTAGAAAATGGACATCACCAACACTAATTTGGACTTTATTTATGAGATGTAACTGTGGCTTGGTCAAAGGAACCCATCTAGTTATATCTCAGGTACCAATATGACCATCACAAAAAGGTCTATGGAAAGATTAACAACTTTTACTAATTTTTTTTTCCATATTTGGGTTAAATTTACATGTATGTAACTGGATTTCCATGGATTGGCTGTGACTGCAGCTCATGACTGAAGTATCTGTGTATTTTGGTTATTTCAAAAGAAGTGCCATGATTGAGATTAGAATATGGTTTAGGTTTCTCTATATAAACCCTATAAATTTTTAGGTGGGTTATGAAATTGTATCTCATTTCCAGGCTATACTTCTGAAAATGCAAACATTATTATGAAATACCATATTGTGATGTTTTGCTTGGACTACGAGTAAATTGATAGTTCATGTATCCTGTGCCCCCAAGCTGCTCTAAGTTGGATGAATGCGTTGCAGAATTTCCAGGATCCAACATTGAAGAACAAAAAGTTTCTTTATAAAGATATGCCCACTGCACCTCCTATCCATTCTACTGTAGACATTGAAAAAATGGATGGGAAAATTTCAACTTGTAGAGCCAGTGACATATCTCATGTTGAAATTTTGAATAGTTATAAAGCCATAGACAACTCAAAATCATCGACAAGTGTTTATTCTAGCAATTGGATTCCTGACCAATCTGAAAGGTTAGTATGATGGTTTTGATTTCTTAATATATTCATTTTTGGCAGGAACTTAGAAGCATTTGTTTTGCTTGACAGGATTGGAGCTGGTAGAGAAGTTAATGCACCCACAAGTTCTTTGCCTGCCCGCCTCCCAACATTTCATGCAAGGTAGGTTAGGTAGCAGGTGTAACAATTGGCATATGTTGTTCTAGTTTTAATTTCTGTGGTCAACATAAATTTATCCCTATTGAATATGGTATTTTAAGGAAAATTATGATTTTGTGCCTGTATTTTGCCAAAATGTACACCATTGCCAAAAATATACAATATGGTATTTTGTGCCTATCATTTGCCTCCATTATACTTTTATCTCCTTCTATCAACTTTTTGTACTTTTTTCGCTAACAAGTACAAATAATTGCAAAAAAAAAAAAAAATACAAAGAAAAGATTAGTTAATTTTGACAAAGTCAAGGACAAAATAGTAATTTGAAAAATTATGTAATCTGTCCCTGTATTTTTGGCAATTATTTGTATATTTTAATGGAAAAAGTTTTAAAAATTACAGAAAAGTATAATAGTATAACGGAGGCAAAAGATTGGGATAAATTGTGTATTTTCAAAAATGTAGGGGAAAGGTTTTCGTATTCTGGTAAAATACAGGGATAAAACAGTAAATTTAACTTTTGTTTTATTGGTTGCCTCATTGTTTTAGTTTATTTTTTATTTTTCTTAAATGCTGAATGGTTGGATTCAGTGCACAAGGTCCTTGGTGTGCTGTGATTTCCTATGATGCATGTGTTCGACTTTGTCTTCACTCATGGGCCAAAGGTTGCACTGAAGAAGCTCCCTACTTCTTAAATGATGAATGTGCATCATTGCGCAATTCATTTGGGTGGGTACATTCCTGTTATTTATTTATTCTTTTGAACTGCTCAGTATTTTTTAATTTCAATGGTTTGTGATCTGTTATATAATTCTTTTGTTCTTTACTAACGGCTGGCATATGAAGATATGTGCAGGGTGACTTTAGAAGTGTAAACTTTCCTATTATTTGTTTGTCGCTTGTCTACTGCTGCGTGATTTTAATCCTGGTGGTTACAGTCTGTTGCTTAATTCTCTTATTCTTTTAATTTTATGGCTAGCACAACATGACTTAGAAATGTTAACTAGGGTATGTTGCTTAATTCTCTTATTCTTTTAATTTTATGGCTAGCATACTAAGATGTGTGCAACATGACTTAGAAATGTTAACTAGGGTATAGAAATGGGTTTATAAGATATAACCTATATTAGCTTAACTTCTTGCTTGTGCTATGCATGAAATATTATGTGTTTTTTGGCATAGGACCAACTATTTTCACTTTTCAGCCAAGATTCTTATCTTCAGAAGTGGGAATCTTGAATAAAATTACTGAAGCTTTCATCATCAACTGATTTTTTTTTATTGCTAAAAATTTGAGAACTGTTTGTATTTTAGATTCAGTATTTACTTTAAGATTTACTTTGCATATAGGAGATGGTGGTGACGTGATATGATTAAAGAATTGTGAATATTTTTCTCTCCTCAGAATTTAAAGCATGCAGTTGAGGAAACTGTTCTGTGACATGCTTTGTTGAATTTTTGTTTCCATTTTAATTACATCCCTGTTTTCTCTTTCTTTCTTTCTTTTCTTCTTCATTTTTTTTTTTTTTTTTTAAATTCCTCCTTAATGTCAATAGTTTGCAGCAAGTGTTGTTACAATCAGAAGAAGAACTTTTGGCAAAACGAACTTCACAGTTGGTAAGTGAAGGAGCTGCTCTGAAATCTAAGCGAACTTTTGGCAAAATGAAAGTGCAAGGTACTATTATGTTTTCCTCTTGAAAGCAGATTCATTATTTTTATATCTGGTTTGCATTTTAAGCCCTTGTCTCCTTTTGAACTATTGATTATTGTGCAGTACGTAAAGTGAAAATGGGTTTAGACCCACCTCCTGGATGCAGTTTTGCTTCTCTAAACCCATCCATGCTAAAACTTGAACCACTCCGTCGCCCGTTGTCAACTTTAAATTCAACATTGCACTCTGGATGGGAAGCTGTGCGGAAAGTTCATGTCAGTCCTCAGATTCCCCCAAATGGTTCCTTTTCACAACAAAGCTTGGCATACATGCGTGCGAGCACTCATTATATTAAACAGGTCTCCAAGGTCTTGAGAAATGAGGTGGCTACTTTGTGCAGCAACCCCTCCTCATATGCAGCTGTGCAAGGTATGTGAACCTTTGCATTATTGAGCATGTAAACCTTTGCATCAATTTATTGAGATGCGACTTAGCATATGATTTGCTGCTGGAATTTGATGAGTCCTAAGTAAAAATACTTGAACTCTCAGAATTCAGCAGAGAATAAATTCAGATTACAAGATTGGAAAGTATCCTATAGTAGCTGCAAAAGCTTTATCCATAATATTGACATTGTAAACCTTTTCCACCTTTTTTTTTTTTTTTTTTTTTTTTTAAGTTAGTTAATTGAGTGATGGTGGAAAGGCACACTATTAGCTGCACATGAACAGTTGAAAGGAGTGCTGATAAAAGAAGTCACAAGTTTTAAAAAATTAACATCATTTCTAGATTGTTTAATGTACTTTGGAATTTAGGTGGTTGACATATCCTGATTCCTGATCCTTAGTCATCATTCACCCTGCCAATTTTTTAGGCCCATTAGAAAAGGGGAAAAAATACCAAACTTTCTAATTAATTGATCTTGATTGGAATTATGACAATATAGTGAGCAGTAGCTGTCTTATTTGCATTTTGATTCATTCAAATAAATGGTTGACCCCATTTTCTTTTTGCTTTATGCAATGCAATTTGGTGGCCTGGTGTTACCAGAAACATATACTTGCTTGGTGAGGTTGAAAAGTTCTCCTGAAGAGGATTCAATTCGAATGCAAACAGGATCTGGTGAAACTCATATGTTGTATGTGTTATTTTTCATTTTCAAATTGTTACTCCTATTTGCTGTTTCTTTGAACATTAAATTTATGTTATTGAAATGCAGCTTTCCTGACAATCATAGTGATGACTTGATCATTGAAGTTCAAGATTCCAAAGGAAAGTACTGTGGCCGTATCTTGGCCCAAGTGGCTGCTATTGCTGATGACCCAGTAAGGCCATTATTTTATCACTTTTTAAGTGTTCTGAAGTAAGGTAGCGTGTTAAATTTCAATTTACTGCAGAATGACAAGCTTCGATGGTGGCCCATATACCATGAGCCAGACCATGATCTCATTGGCAGAATGCAGTTGTACGTAAACTATTCAACTGCTCTAGATGAGAGTAATCATCCAAAGGTATATTTTGGATTTTATTCTCAAACAATTTTCTTGAGTTTATAGTTTTATAACAAGTCCACTCTTGTTTGTTCTTCATCTGGTATAAATTGCAAGAAAGCACTATTGAGAAAAAGATAAGAATCATTAGTATTGTTTCTTGTGTATTCAGTGTGGTTGTGTGGCAGAAACTGTGGCATATGACTTTGTTCTGGAAGTTGCAATGAAAGTTCAACATTTTCAGCAAAGAAGCTTATTGCTACATGGCCCATGGAAGTGGCTAGTAACTGAATTTGCATCTTATTATGGAATATCAGATGCATACACCAAGTTAAGGTACCGGATGAGGCAGTATGCGTAATTCCATTTAGCAAATTTAGGAAATCTTCCTGCATAATGCATTTCAATTTGCTGTCTGATTTTTTTGATTCTTGCAGATACCTTTCCTATATCATGGATGTGGCTACACCCACCAAAGACTGTCTCGACTTAATATATGATCTGTTACAACCTGTAATCATGAAGGGTAATAGGAAGAGTGTGTTGAGCCATCAAGAGGTGTGATTTAAGTTTTAAGTTGTAATTCAAAGTGAATAGGATGAATTTCTTGTCATATTTTATCAGTTAGGGAGATATATATGTATATATTTAGTATATATACAAGATACTACAAACTATTTAGGACTCTAACTCCTAATTGAATTCTATATACAAAAGGATTCAAACTTTCCTTAACATGAGTTAATTTGTTGATCTGTCATTTTGAAAAAGGATTCCTTATTCTTCTGATACTACACATATTTAGTTTTGGGTCATTTCATTACTGAGTAATGTCATGTTTCTGTACATCTTAAAAGAGTGCTTAGAAAGTCTTGACTCCAACTAGGGGATTGTTAAAACAAACCTCAAAACAGACCTTTATACAAGTCTTCCCATTTAAGCCATCTCAGACTTATGGCAACATGGATATGTCTTTTTACCTATATATGTATGATTTCTTGCTTTAGATAGGCTATCTACTTACAACCTGAATATAACTTGTTTACTTATAACTTGATTCTTTTTTTTTTTTTAATTATAATTCAAATGTTCCACATTTCACACTGTTAATATTTAAGATTCTACTTTCTTGTTTCTGTTTCCTTGAATAAATATGCTTCTCATTGCTAACAAAAACTGATATTTAAATGTGGAGGATGCTGGAGGTAACTATATTGAGTTTGCAAAAGGAAGTAAATTAATGCCAGTGATTTTTGACATGCATACCAGAATCGCATCCTTGGAGAGGTTGAGGATCAAATTCAACAAATTCTTGTCCTGGTTTTTGAGAACTACAAGTCACTAGACGAATTAATGCCATCTGGCATAATGGATATTTTTTGTCCTGCCACTGGATTGGCAGCTCCTGCATTGGCACCAGCTGTCAAGCTTTACTCTCTCCTGCATGATGTATTAAGTCCTGAGGCACAGTTGAAGTTCTGCCGATATTTTCAGGTACTAGAGATTAATTTCTTTTCTTCATTTCCGTTTTTGCTTTGCATCTTCTACTTCATGTAATGACAAAAATCCTTCAGGCTGCTTCCAAAAAAAGGTCAAGGAGACATTTGGCTGAGACAGATGAATTTATAAGCAATAACGAGGGCACATTAATGGATCCCTTGATGCTTTCAACTTCTTATCAAAAGATGAAATCTCTTATTTTAAGTGTTAGAAATGAGATTTGCACCGACATACAGATCCATAATCAACATGTGCTTCCCAGGTAAAAGTATCAGCTGTATGGTATCAGCTCACTCCTTCCTGCTTGTTTACTTGGGCATTTTATGAAAACTGCAATTTATTAAATCTTTTTTTTTTTTTTTTTTTTTTTTTTTTTTTTTTTAAAAGTATCAGCCTGTATGGTATCAGCTCACCTCTTCCTGCCTTTTGTTTAAACTTGGGCATTTTCTGACAAACAACATTAGCAGAATTTAGTCTGAAATGCTTCTATTTTATATAGGTTTTTTGTTATTTATATCTCTTTTCTTTTTTTATGTCATTTATTTGATTCTATTAAAAGACTCAGCATATACCCATACAGGAGATTATTTTTCATAGTCTCCTCTTACCATTAACTCTATAAGAGGTAACCAACTGTCTTCATATGTCACAATCTCGCAATTAGTAGTGAGCTGGTCTAAATTCATAATTTCCACTTTTGTTCTCTTTCACAATTATAGTGCAATTAGAAACTCTCCTTTAATTTCAAAAAAAATAATCTATGTGTGCATCCAAATATATAGTGTTCGTACTCAATCTACCTTCCTAATACCCAATAAGGAAATTGCCGCTCGTTTTCTTATTGCACAGTTCATTTCTCATACATTTCCTCATCAATCTTAGTAACAAACTCTACCAAAAATCTACCACTACACCTTCCTCTGTAGAAACTAAGGAGAAGAAATATTCTGTAGTATAGTATGTATCAAATACTATTAGAGATGCATAGGATCTAACTTATACAAAAATATAGATTCTTGCGCCGCTATCTATTATATTTCTGAAAATCAATAAATGTTCTCACATATTCGCTCTTTCTCTCATTATCAATTAACCTGTTTTTAAAAACTTTTCGTTAATCACAAAATTCACCTAAATGGTGATATTATGTTAATACAATTCATAACGACACAACTTTTATTCTTATCATGATTAAAAGAAACCAAAATCATCAAAATATACGCTTCCTTTAGTCTGTATAAGGTAGGAAAAGTTGCACAAATGCACATACAGCGAAAGAGTTGTTCCCCACTCTCTTTATATAATTACACTCACACAATTCCGTTTCTGGTATTTCTTTTTAATGTTATATATACAAATAAACGTCTCTTTAGACCCATATTGATAGAGCGTTTATTCAAAAATATAGTCATGTCAGATTCATGATACCAAGGTCATTAAAAGAATATATACTGTATAGCAAGTGATGAGTGCATATTTATTCCTAGATACTATATAAGAACAAAATACCATAAAATATATGGTTAAGTCAGTATATGTCTTCTCTTATATCTGCAGAAACTCCGCTTAAATGAGTGGTGTTGGCCGTCTGTTTAAATGTAAAAGCACACAATGTGGAAAAAGTGTTATTTTCAAGTACGTTCTTCAGCAAAATCGCGACACGGTCATTATACACTTCAAACTAGATTTATGCATCTCTTATTGCAGCCAATTAGGTTAAATCTTCTCTCATCTATTTATTGTGCTCATTGTATCTAATTCCCTAATTTTTTTCCTTGATTATATGAACTTTTAAAGTCAAGATTTCGACATCACGTCCTTACCATTCCTGTTTGGCAAAAATTCAAAATTTATGAATTGGCTGGCTTAAACGGAGTGCTGTGTGCATATCCACATATATAGCTACTCCCTTGTGCGTCCAGTCTTTGGCCATATTCTTCTCTTTGCAATAATCTTCAATTCTTGGTTCACAAAGACAAATAATAGGAGAAGTTATTTTTGTCATTTCAGCATCCAAGAATCTTTATGTTCCTGCAAATTCTTTCAGGAAAAGTATGCCCCTTTCCCCCTCGCATACCCAAAATGTCTTAAGCCTTAAATAGAGACAAATTTTTATTATGCCATCTCTATGAATAACCAAAAATGCCACCCATTTAGCCAATACACTTCCACAATTTAGTCTCTTAAAATAAACATTATTTGACAAACACAAGTATACATCATGCTACCATAAAACTAATTTTTAAATCTAACCTCTATAGTGATAATATATCGTTGCACATCATAAGAAAGATTAGTTGTCAATTATCAATATCCATCTGAATCCCTTGGGAGATCATTACTCTAATATAATTCAAACTGAGAAATATAGCCCAACTTCATTCTATTGACACTAGAATAGTAATATCTCAATATTACAGTATAACAAATTTATAGGGGGCTGTTCCTACCAAAAAAATAAATCTTATTATGAGTCTAATCACTGTGCATAAAGGGAAATGTAATCTCCCGCATTTGAAATACTTTCCTTTCTGAGACGCCAGTTTAGTGCTTTAGAGTTTTGTTTGTAAAGTATTTAAAAGACAATAGTATAATCTCACTTGGAGTCCTATATAAATTAATAAATAGGTTTGTTCTTCCAATAAATATGAAATTAGAACGAATATGAGATTTCATGAAAGAAACCTAAGAAGGCTATGTATGGATCCTAATGCATAAAAGGATAAAAAAATTATATCAACCTAGTATTATTATGAAGGGAACACAGCCCAGTTCAAAAAATGATTTTTTTTAAAGATATTGTGTGGCTTTTAAATGCACAAAGAAGGTAGGCACTTTACGGAAAGCTGGTACGAGAAACCCACAAACTAGTGCGAGACCTGATACTCGAGTAACTCATAGATGATCGAGAAATAACTACTGTCCAAGGTATGTGTGATAATATTGAGATATTACATCCTTTCCTAACCCTTGGGTCAACCCAAACACTGAATCAAGAAATTAAAAAACCGCAAGAAAACCAGAAAGGGAAAAACGGCACAAAGAGTGTCAGTCCTCCAAGACTACTATGAGAAGAAAAACAATAACTTTATTATTCCACTATGATAGACCTGCTAAAAAACCATAAAAGTCATTTATTCAAGTGGATGAAAAAATCTTTATTGTTTTATTGACGATATGTCCCGAGAATGAAGTGGGACTTACCTCTCAATGAACTATGTTAGATTGGTGCTCTCCACATGTGGCCCGACATTAAAAACAGAAAGTCCAGGTTGTAATGCGATTATATATAGTGCAAGAACATTTAAAAGGTTGAAGTCCCATAATATGATTTATTGGATGCATTATCCAAAAATATGTGAGGAACAACATATAGGAGGATACTCCGCGAAATTAGGGTGTAGGAAGCCTATAGAAATGTATGTAGACGTGAGCACGCAATGAATACATACACTTATACCATTTCTAGAGGAAGAACTTAATCAAGACTAACAATGGAAAATCTTTAGAGAATCTGCGTAGCCGAAAAATTAGTTCCTCTTTAACATTACAATCTCACACTATACGCATAATTATATCCTACTATTTTTATTCTCCAAAGTATTGGCTCAGGTCTTTTCTTTCTCTAATCCATAGAAATTAAGGATGACATGAACATAAAACATAATTTAGGAGCCTAATAACCAATTTTTTTTTTTTTTTTTTTTTTTTTTTTTTTTTTTAAATTGACACATGGTTTTGCTTCTTATTTATGAGTTACCATCCTGACACTCATTGCTGTTTTTTTCCTTTGTCTTTAGTTTTATAGACCTTCCAAATCTGTGTGCATCCATATATAGTGTGGACCTCTCCAATAGATTGCGCTCGTTTCTTATTGCATGTCCTCCTTCTAGTCCCTCACCCTCTGTAGCTGAACTTGTTATTGCAACAGCGGACTTTCAAATGGATCTTGCTTCTTGGAACATTAAGTAATTCTCTTCTCATATCATTACTGTTAATATGATCAATTTCTAGTGTTTGTAATCCCATTTATCTTGTTACATTCAATAGTCCTGTGAAAGGTGGAGTTGATGCGAAAGAGTTGTTCCACTCTTATATAACCGTCTGGATCCAAGACAAACGTCTTGCCTTGCTTGAGTTGTGCAGATTAGACAAGGTACAAATCTAGCAGTGTGATTTTGATTAGCAATCTGTGCTTCAGTATTCTTTTTAGATGTTATGCTGTATGACATTTAAATTTTCAGTAGTAGGAATGCGCATTATCATAGTTGCTGATTTTATTTTTTTTATGTGTTTTCTATTTTTTCTTGATTATATGAACTTTAGTCAAGATTTCAGAATGCTTACATTCCTGTTTGCAAATTCAAAATTTATGAATTGCTGGCTTAACGGAGTGGCTGTGTGCATATCCACATATATAGCTACTCCTTGTGCGTCCAGTCCTTTGGCCATATTCTTCTCTTTGCATAATCTTCATTCTTGTTCACAAAGACAAATAATAGGAGAGTTATTTTGTCATTTCAGCATCCAAAATCTTTATGTTCCTGCAAATCTTCAGGAAAAGTATGCCCTTTCCCCCCTCGCCATATGCAAGTTAATGAATTATATGCCATTATAATAACCAAAAATAGCCACACTGCCAAACTCATTAGTCTAATAAATTTGAACGTAAATATGCCAAAACAATAAATTTCATATGATATGTGCACCAAGAAGATAGTATTTGACTGATCTTGGGAGTTGTTACTATTTGCAACTTTTGATGAATGAAACATTATTGGAAATATAGGGGGCTGTCCTAAAAATTTTATTAAGTTCACTAGGGACTCTTCTAGAAGGCTAGTTCTTGAAAGATAAAAAGTTAACACTTTCCAATAATAATATTGTTCTTTATGAATATACTTTGAAAAGAAACTAGAAGGCTAGTTCTTGAAAGATAAAAATCTAATACTTTAAAATTTTAATATTGTTCTTTATGAAAGAGGTAGATTCAGTGGTGAATCATGGTGATACTGGTAACTGTTATGATAAGGTCTGGAAAATGATTCTTACTGGGACATGAAGAAAAGAAGAGGAAAAAGGCAAAGATTTTTAAACATTATATCCATGCTAAAAATGAGATTATCAAGGAGAACTTTTGTTTTATAAATGTGGATGATTACTGATTTAATGTGTCCATGATAAAAAGGATCATATAAAGGAAAACTTTAGTTCATAAATTTGGATGATTACTAATTTAATGCGTCCAAAGTGTGGGCATATTTGGTGGCGCATGAATACATACAAACATTGGTATATTCTTGTCCAGTCTTACATAAATCATATAGATTCTACTTTATACTGAATGGTGTTTTTATTAGTATGTAAATTTTGCTATACACTTATTACTGTCAGGTAAAGTGGTCTGGTGTGAGAACACGACATTCAACAACCCCTTTTGTTGATGAGATTTATGAGCGACTGAAGGATACACTGAATGACTATGAAGTAATAATTCAACGTTGGCCAGAGTACACTGTTGTTTTGGAGAGTGTACGTTTCTTCTTGATCTTACGATTCTTTTTACTTCTTTTGGCATAAGTTTCAACTACTGATAGCATATATCTGCATCCATCAAAAGGCTATTGCAGATGTTGAGAAGGCAATTATTGAAGCTCTGGACAAGCAGTATGCTGATTGCTTGTCCCCTTTGAAGGACAGTCTCGCACCAAAGATCTTTGGCCTTAAATATGTGCAGAAGTTTGCCAAACGAGCAGGGGAAGTTTATGTTGTGCCTGAAGAGGTGAGCTTCTATTTTAGGTTGCATGTGATTTTAGAAGGGTTGTATTTCTTTATTCTATCCATAAAAAACGTTATAATTATGTTTCAGTTGGGGGTTCTTCTGAATTCCATGAAAAGGATGCTGGATGTACTGTGGCCCAAGATAGAAATCCAGATGAAATCATGGGTTTCTTGCTCCCCTGATGGTGTAGATACAGTGACAGGAGAATGTCTTAGTGAAGTCACTGTGTTGCTAAGATCCAAATTCAGAAGTTACCTCCAAGCAATTGTGGAAAAGCTGGTAGACAATGTGGGTATTCTTTTACTTTCATTCAGTTTACTTTAACTATGGGTCTGGAAATAGAATTTAATGGACTATTCATCTATGAACAGTGAAAATTCGGTTATTGAAATTCTCTGACTTCATTCTACATTATTTTGCTTCAGTAAAAAGAGATTTTGAAGGCAGATCTAAATAGCAGTATGCATTGAACTAGTGAATAATATGCTTAATTGATAAGATTCAACTTTAAGTGATTTTAGCATGGTTAACATTTGGTAGCTTGTGTGCAATTTTTGACAAGTTATTTCAAGGCCCTACTCATCTGTTGAAAATGCAACTGTCAATAGCATTGAAAGTAGCTCTCTCAAATTCTAATTTCTAATGTACTTCAGGTTATGAAGAGCCCCTTTTTGCAATGGTGGCTACTCTTTGCATGATAGGTTCTTGCTTTCATATGTGTTCTGGCTAGCAGCCATTGTTGTTTTTTGTTTCGTATTTCCTTTCCAAAGCTCAATGGTTAGTAATAATATTGTTTTTTCAAATATGCAGTTTATTCTTAGACATTTAAGACTAAATTTGGCTGGTAAAGTTGCGAGAGATCTCCTCCCTCCATGTTAAGGAAACATGGTTTTTTATTTTCTTTAAAAAAATAATGGAATTCTATGTTTGTGTGTTGTTTTTCTGTACATCCAATTATGTCTATGAGATTGTGACCACACATTCAGTGATGCTTTTGTTTCATAATTTGATGCAGACAAAGATGCAGAATGCAACAAAACTGAAGAACATAATCCAAGATTCAAATGAAACTATGGTGGAGTCAGACTTACGAAATAGAATGCAGCCTGTGAAGGATCTTATGGTAAAAACAATAGATAATCTGCATTCTGTTGTTGAACCTCATGTGTTTGTTGCCATTTGCCGAGGTTTCTGGGACCGCATGGGACAGGTATTTTGGATTAAATATTTTCTTACTTTTTCTATGCTTATGAATGTTTTGATGGTTTTTGTTTAAAGGAACTTACTATCATGCCTTCAAGGAAAATTAAGTAAAATTTACTTGGTTTTACTTGAGTTTTACAAAAAAAAATAGTGATTTTTTACAAAATATTGGCATTTGGACATATTATTTTGTAAACATTCATTTTACAAAAACAAAGGTATTCTTTACAAAATGCTTGAAAATATTACAAAATATTGATAATAGGACATATCATTTTGTAAATAGCTCCTTTACAAAAAAAAAAAAAGCCTTTTTTACAAAATATTTGAAAATATTACAAAATATTGATAACCGAATCTATTATTTTATGAACCACCAACTTTTATAAATTAAAAAAAAAAAATTTACAAAATATTAGAAGGTATTACAAAATATTGACAACTAAAGTTATTATTTTGTAATCCGGCAACTTTTACAAGAAATAACCATCTTTTACAAATATTCGTAATTTGAACTATGATTTTATAAACCATCAACTTTTACAAAAAATAATCACTTTTTACCAAATATTAACAACCGGAGCTGTTATTTTGTAATCCAGTAATTTTTATAAAAAATAACTACCTTTTATAAAATATTTAAAAATATTTCAAGATATTAACAACTGGAATTATTAGTTTGCAAACCACTAACTTTTACAAAATATTAGATTGAATTAAAATTATTGGTAACCAGAGCTAAGTCATATTAGAACTTATTTAGAAGTATTATAAATATTACCAACCGGAGCTATTATTTTGTAATCCGGCAACTTTCCATAACTTGAATTTCCTTGAATCTATTCTAGAAAATCCCTTGTTTAAATGCTTGTACTTACTGTTGTTATTATTATTGTCATTATTTTAACCAGGAGATACTACGCATTTTGCAAAATAGGAAAGAGAATAGGTCTTGGTATAAAGGCTCACGAATTGCTGTTTCTGTAAGTCGTCCTTGAACCAGTTAGCTGCATAATTGTTTCTCTATTTATAATCTGCTTCATCTGACTGTATTTTGAAAGTTTGGATTAGAGGCTCTGAAAAACTTGTAACTTTATCGTCAGTCTTGAACAACTGAATTTCTATTAGCAAAAATTTAATACTGCAAACTCCTATGCAAAGCTCAATTATCTTGTTGAGATTTTCGCACATTTGAAAGATATATTTTAATTTATCTTGGATGGAAATTGAAGTAAATGTGGGAAAGAAATACATTTGTACTGAAATATGAGTTTGTAATCACGAAAAGCACCAAACAGAACCCTCTTTCTTTTCTAAAGTTGACATTTCTTAGTCCAAGCCTGAAGCCACCTCGGTTAAGGATACTTATCAGCTGATGCTTCAACAACAGAATGCTATTTGCCATTGTAGTTCGCTTGCAATAATATTAACATTCAATTTGCTAGAGAGATAGTGCATTTCGAGTTGAGGGCTTTGATTTTACTACACTTGAGTAATTTTTAGCATATCCAGAAATTTAAGTGGATTGTGAAAACTATAGTCGTTTATCCTTCTGCTTTAGCATAAAACTTGCTCAAGCTGCTTCTAGAAATTGTTCTCTTTTCATAGTTTCTGTTTATATTTGACCTTGAAGAAAGCTTATAGGTGCAGATACACAAGTGAACTCCTTTATAAGCTTTTTGTTCTTTTGAGTGCTACTGTAAGTTGATTTCATAAGTGAACTTTTCATTAGCCAAATATGCCAGTGATTGAGAATTCAAATCATCCTTTCATTTTTTGTTCCTTTCTCGTTACCCGTTCTATTGCATCATCTATCCTGTCTGATACATCTCTACTATTGAACTTGCAGATCTTAGATGACATATTTGCATCACAAATGCAGCAATTACTTGGAAATGCATTACAAGAGAAAGACTTGGAGCCACCAAGATCCATAATGGAAGCTCGATCAGTGCTTTGTAAAGACGCAGTAAATCATCATGACAGCAACTACTATTTATAGATTCTTGGTTCCTGTACATACAGATTCATATCCTTATTCTGGTTCAGCATTTTTTACATTGAAGAAGCAAAGGGGAAATCTTAGTTGCAAAAGACCACACATTTTCCCAGTAATACGCATTCGACCTCAGAATGAAGAAAGTTCAGTCAATTTTGTCCCTTCTGTAAAGTTTTCCCGTGGCCATGGCCTCCATGGTAAAATTTCCTCCTCTTTCTCAAAGAATGTCAATATTTTTTGGGAGCTCCATTGCAACCCATCTTAACTACGCTGTTCTTTGGTTCTTTTTACATTTTCTGTTGATTCTTAAATTACTATTACTAAATTAATTACCAAGCATATGAGTTTAGGAATTTGCATGAAACGTGACTTGTTCTCTTCATCTCGAAAAATTATATAATACAACTGTAAATCAATGTAGGGTGTCCTACATGAAATGACAAACCAATAGTAGATAAACAAGTATGTACAAGTCAGTTTATAATTTTTATAGTTTTTTTCTCTCTTTCTTTGAGTTATTGTTCTAAATTTCAAAAATTATACTTATATAATTATTTACTATTATATCATATTATATCATATAACGGTGGAAAGAACATCCAACAATCAATTAATTTTGCAAGAGTTCAATCATGATCTTGAACTTTCATATATATAAAAAAAAAAAAAACTTTATAGCTTCTTTAATTTTATGGGAACTGTGGTAATGATATTTTTTTTATTGCAACATGAGTCAAATTTGTAATTTTTTTTCTCAATTAATTATATGCTAGAAAAGTTAAAATATAAAATTTCATTAAAATTAAAGTTTTTGTTTGATAGTAATTTACAATTTCATGTATACATATATATTTCCTAAAAGGCAAAAATATTCTACGGTTGGGCCGAGATTTAAAAGTATTTACATAATTGCTTTTGTATCGGAATATTTATATGACCCAAACTAATTAGGAGAATCCCTAACTAATTTTGTAGAATACTCTCTTCATCCCTATAAATATGTTTTCTCATGAGCTCCCTTATCGAAATTTTAATATTCAAATCATAATATATTAAATCATAATTTGATTTATTATATATAGAATTGGAATATAATATTATATAATTTTTAATCAATCAATAAAATTAGAAGTTTTTTTAATTAGAATACAATTAAATTATCTTTAATAATATAAAATTAAAAGTCCTATATGATATTATACACTTTTTAATCGATCAATAATTAAAAATTTTCTAATGAGTACGTGGTCCCTCAATTGTTGTAAAATCTAATGAAAAATAAATAATATAAAGCCAAGGAAAAGATAGATGGAAGGACAAGACATGGTAATTATGTGAAGTGTTCTACTTGTGAAGCATCTTCTGCCTCATCAGTAGCTTAGGTAATGTCTACACACAAATCTAATATATATATATATATATATTGAAAGGTGCGTTGGTAATATATATTGTATATAAAATATTCGAACATCAGTGAAATGACATGAATCGTCCACGTGTCGTATGCAAGATTGATTTGATGAAGCCGAATCTAGGCGCCATTCTTTGAAGCAATTTGCTCAAACGTATATTCTCCACTTTCAGAGCCATTCCAGGAAAAAACAATACAACGCTGTTTTTTGCTTTTGGTAAACCAAAGCTTTGAATACGAATACGAATACGAATATAAATTAATAAATATATAATAATAATAATAATAATAATAATAATAATAAAATCAATGAGAATGTCCAAAACCAAAATGTTAATTTTTAGATAAAAATATTAATTTTATATTTTATAATGCTGCAATTTCAGTAGACTTTAAACTATTATATAATTGTATAATTGAGTTTGACTTAGTTTGCCTTGTACAAGTGGCAAAGCTGTTGTCTATTACAATTTATGCAAATGTTACACTCTTCTGTCAAAAGCAAGGAATTTTAGCATAATCTCAATGCACAATTCTTTCCTTCTGTTAACGGACTCTAATCTGTCGTATCAATGACTTTTTCTTTTTTTTTTTTTTTTTTTTTTTTTTTTTCTGTACGGACTCTAATCTGTCCGTATCAATGACTTTTTTCTTTTTTTTTTTTTTTTCGTTTTTTTTTTTTTAAACTAGAACGAAATCAAGTTTTTTTTTTTTTTTTTTTTTTTTTTTTTTTTTAAAACTAGAACGAAATCAGTTCAAAATAAAAATAATTCTTTTTTTTTTCTATACAAAAATGATTATTTAGTATTCGTCGTTTTATCAAATTAAGTAACTTGTCCTTTTAATTTGATAATATTAATTAATAGTTCTTAAGGTTTACCTTCATCTAACTACTTAGTCCTTCTGTCCACATTTTTTCATTATAACGAATCAAAAAGTAAGAGAGATGTGAGATAATTAATCTAAAATGACTATAATAATTTCTCATGACATTTCCTTCTCTTCCTTTCTCTCTTCTCTTCTCTACATCTGGATATCAAATGTTCTTTCTGAGTACATGCATTTTGTGGGCTTAAAATTTAAATATATGATTTTTTAGATTTGAATTTATGTATTTGCTGGTGGTTGCACTAGCAACATAAAACTAAAAATTTAATACAAATTTTCTTAAAAATAGGTTTTTTTTATAACATGTTTGCTGTTGGTGGTTATTGGGTGAGAATGGAGAAAGAGAGAGGCACATAAGAATTAAAGAGGAGAGATGGAGATGGATAAGAGTTTTATGGTTCTAAATAAAAGAAATAGACCAGGTTAATTTAGTAATATAAAGGTATTTCAGTATTTTCCCTATGATTATAACTGCAAATATTCATAATTTGGATGAAAAGACTAAATAGGATTATTAATTAATATTAAAAAATACAAAGATGAATTAATTAATTTGGTTAAACATCGAGTATCACATAATTAATTTCCCTTTTCTATATTGCATTGATTCGAATTATTTTTTTTTAATACGATATTAAGAGAATGAATTTCAACTTGAATGTATTAGGAGATTCTATTATTAGAACACTGGGCAATGCTTTTTTTTTTTTTTTTCTTATGAAAAAGAAGGCCAAAGCCTTACAAACAAGAATATGCTATTCTAATAGCATTATGTCATCCAGTTCCCACAATTATTTGCCACCATACAAATGCGATTGATCTTTGTTTGGTCATTTGGAGACAAGAAAATCTTGATAATTCAATTATTGGCCTCCTTTGTGCTTTTTCATCCTTGTTATTATATATATATATATTTTTTTTTAATACACTTAAATAACAAATTTTGATTTTTTTTAAGGTGAAACGGAAAGAGTAATAAATTTAATTTAATAAATTTCATAATATTGAACAGATAAATAATTGTCTGAATATTTTTTTTCTTTAATATCTAAAATTCTAGGATTTAGATTAGTTTAGTTGATAATTATGAAATATCTTCTTCCTTATCTATAAACTGAACGACAATATGTAATTTCATTGATATACAATTCATATAGCTTCTAGAAGTACAAATCTAGCAAGACCCGGTCCAAACATTCCCAAATCGACGCGCAATTATATTTTTGATTAGGAGTATCTCAAAATTATTATTAAAAAAGAGAAAAGCTCCAAATCTTAATTAACCCAGCTAAATTCCATTATCGTCATCATCAGAATTCCTTAAACACCTTCCTGACCTGTTCTAGGGTCACAAACAGCACAATCGTAAACGGCCCTTGCCTTGAGATCGTAGGTATGAACCCCTTGTAAAGGGCCAAGGGCCCCTCCGCCTTCACCGTCTTGATCGCGCAATCCAACGCTCCTGCATACGGCGGCGCCTTCCCTGGCTCCACCTTCATGTTCATCACTCTTGTTTTGATCACGTCCACCGGATTCGACGCCACCGCAGCCACAAACCCTGCCGCGAAACTTGCTGTCACGTGGGTCCCCAGCCCATCACGCATCAATCCTTTTTGGAGAATCGTTTCTTTGAATTGATCGTATGATGCTAGCTGTGATGCTGTTACTAGCATAGCGCGGTTCACCGTAAGCGATGAGCCGCGCCACAGGCTAGTAACGCCTTCTTGTTTTGCCATACGTGTGATGGCGTCGACAACGCTCTTGTAATTCCGACGTTGAGCTGGAGGAAGACGACCGTCGGCTTGCATGCGTACCATTGCCACATCTGCAGGGTTTCCAACGGCGGCTCCGATAGCTCCAGCAATAAGTCCAGCAGCGATCTTGCTCGCTAAAGGCATGGTTTTTGTGTTAGGATCAGTCCATTTTTGTTTCAAAATATCGTAAAGACCCATGCGGGTGGTGGAATAGAGAGTCTGGCGGAGGACGGTGGCGGAGACACCGGAAAAAAGAGCAGCGACGCCTTCTTGTTGAACAATACGGACACCGACAGAAATGGGACCGACACGAGGTGGTGGAACCGTTAGTGGTCGTTGAGGCACGTGAATGGTGGTGGCCCCGTGGTGGAAAGCAAGAGCAGGGCGGAGCGTTTGGAGAGCTGGGTTCGGCGCGTGGGATTCACCTTGGAGTTGCATGCGGACTTTAATAAGATCAAGAGGATGTGTAGAGCAACCAGCAATAATTGAAGCTATGCCTCCTTCAACAAAACCTTTCAAACCCATTTTTCAAGAATGATTTCAAGAATCGAAACAATCAAAAAAATGATATCTTGCTTGTTTTTCTTTTTCCGGGAAAAGCAGAAAAAGAAACGCTAGAAAAATTTTCAATGACAAATAATACAAGACCAGTTGGAATTAGGGTTCATCTCACTGGAAACCAGGAGATGGGAATGGAGACCGAAGGCTATAGAAGAAGAGTGAGGTACGGTAGGTCTCTGAGACATATGCTAATTTGTTAGGTGAGAGAGAAAAGGTGAGACTGATGGTTTTGAGAGGAAGGGGAGAAAGGAGAATTTATAGTGGGTGGTGTGCGTTGAAGGGGAAAGGTGGTGCAAATTAGCTTTCTTTTCTTACGCGAAAACATGTGAAATTTTGAAGTTTTGGGTAATGTTTGACGCGGTTAAGAGTTGCTCTTTGGACTTTGAAGGGTCTACTGGCTTATGCTGGCACATGCCAAAATTGGGCCAACTCCAAGGCTAGTCTACGTTTAATTGTCTAGTATACAATATTTATATAGTTGAAATTTATTTTTATATAATTTTGGTTTACTTTTCTTTTTCTTAAATGATTTTATGAAACTTCAAATCAAATTGAATAAGTCATCACTATCTTATGTTATGGCTTAAAAGAAGCAAAACACCAAAATATATTTACACAACAAATAATCAAATTTAAAAAGAGTATGATTTATGAATGTAGGATATGTTTATTTAGTTTAGCTATTTATATCAATAGCATTAATTGATAGCTATTTAACAACAGTTGATGTTATAATATAAAATAATTATTAGGTGGTAATTATTTTTTATGTATTGTCATGTATATATATATATATATATAAAATTTATTTTCAGGTGTTCATGGTTCATGAGAAACAATCGGCATCAATTTCATTATGCAAACACTGATCAGAATTTTTTTAAACTGGTTTTACAATCCAAATATGAGATTAATTAAGCACGTCAATCAACTATCAAGGTAAGTTTTTAGTAAATAACTACATTATAGTCGGTTTTTTGTGACATATTATAAAAATTGGAAGACAAAAATCCTTAACCATGAAATTAAATTATTTACAACACACAACAACTTCAAAACTAAAATTTTCAACAGAGAGCCTTCATAATAACACATAGATTATTAGTTATGATTTTGATGATTGTAGGACTACTGGTTTTGAGTGGTTATTTAGTTTTTAGAGCTATTTATATATATTCTCATGTCAAGCATTTAATTTTCTGCATAAAGCTTGATCTTCCTATAACAAGATAAGCAGGTTTTATTATGATGAGTTATATAATAAAATATTATTAGGATATTTGGAGTAAAAATTTAAATTTTTTATGTATTGTCAAGGCTAGTATAACAAATAAGATTACATAATGATATCTATAAATTTTTTAAATGACTTACTAAATAAGTTTTTATTATTGAATATGGTAGGAAAATTTTGTCATTTTCTATTACCTATTTATTTTATAAATAAAAGTATTAATTAAATTTTTTCGAATAAATTTGCAAATCTAAATAAATTTATAATAATGGTGAGAGTTTTAATTTTCTATAGATTAATAAATAAAAAATATAAATATTTAATCATTAAACGTGTATATTAAAATATATAAATCTAGATAAACACTAATAATTATATAAATATAATGGACTTAATAATTCGTGTACGAGAACTCTATAATTAAAATTTAAACCTAATAATAATAAAATAATTGGTTAAAGCCGTTGATCTTTTTTGGGTTTATTATATTGGAGACAATGTAGCTACCGTCGTATAAAATTGTAAATTTTTGACAAATTTCGAGAAAGGGTTATGAAAAATTTTTATGTATATTCGTGAAGGACTCAATCGGATTTTTAAATCATTTTATAGGGAACCTCTGTGATTCCAGTATAAAGGCACTAACTTTATCTATTAATATGATTCGCTCTCACGATACAAATTTACCAGGTGCACGTTAATTATTCAACCTACATTAATATCCTAAATGTCTTCTACACGCTAAGAAGGTTGTAAGGGTATTTGATCTACTGCAATGGGAAGATCAAAAATAACATGGTTTTGGGACAAGAATTTTCTTTAATTTTTATATATTGTAATTTAGAAATTATAAATGAAATAATTATTATAAATAAAAGTATTAATTAAATTTTTTAGAATAATATCTAATAATTATATATTAGTTTTAAATAATCATAAATAAATCATCGTATAAAATATTAATTTATAAACAATAATTATTTTTATAAAGTTAATATAATTAAAATTTAAATATAATATAAATAAAATTTGGTTAAGAGTTGATTTTTTTTTTTGAAAATGTAGCTACGAAGATGACAATTGATTATGACTTTTATTAACTATCAATGTTTATCTTAAACTCTTATTTAATACTTTTAGTCTAGTAATTAGGTGCACGTTAATTATCAACTAATCAAATGTCTCGCTAATAAGAGTCATGAGATCAAATATGTCAGATCAATTTTATTGTGATATTAAATTTTTTTAAAAGCAAATTCCAAAGTGTTCCGTAATCTAATTTGCACTTTTATGTAATTCATAAAATGTTTGAAAGACGATTTAATAGTAATAATAATAAGCCATAAAAGAAGCTTTTCAGAATTTATAATGCAATCTTAATTGGTAATTTCTCTTACTCGACGCTCTAAAAATGGGGTTACGTAAATATAATATATTGTTTTGATTCATGTATATAAAATATAAAGAATATAGTTGGAGAAGTGAATTGAAGAACGTAAAATAATCATTTGAAAATTCATAGAATATCACTTTCATATTTTAATTATATATTTAAAAGATTTTACACATTCTTACAAATCCATAAATCAATTTTATTTTATATGTTGAAATTAATTAATATTTATGCCTTCTTCTTCTTCTTCTCTTTTTAATGGGTGAATGACAATTTCACCAAGATAACCAATCCACAACTTCAGGAGTCAAAGCCTTATTTTATCGTTCTCACCCAATTCAAATATCTTAAAGATATTTTATTCTAAACAAATCCCCTAAATATTGCCAATGAATTACTGCTTTTTTTTCTCTTTAAAATAGCAGATATGTTTTTGGTACGTTAAAATGGAGCAAAAGCTCAAAAAAAAAAAAAAAAAAAAAAAAAAAAAAACGAGATCTGCTGTAATTCTCTAATCATCACCCAGATCTAACTGAAAAAAAAAAAAAAAAAACAGATCTGCTGTAATTCTAATCAATACACCAGATCTACTGCTGATTATAAAACAAATGACGTCAGTGGTCCAATTCTAATTACATAATTAACCTTAATAGTCGATAGTTGATGCCTTGATGATGGTCGCATTACCTAAATGACCTTTTGAGGAACCTGATTAGCTGAATAATGATGTGTAAAGGATGGTGGAGAAAAGGGGCAAATCCAATTAAAAGAAGGCCGACCATTCATTGGGGCCGAGTGCTATTATTGACTTGGATTCCCACTTGAAACTTTCCAATCTGGCCCGTTGCTTAATGTTCCGTTCCATTCATTGCGTCCAAGTGTCAAAATTTGATTTGGAATCTGACAAGACTTCTGACGAGTCACAACAGGAACCCGGTTGAGGTCGAAGCAGGTTGGATTTAGGGGAGGCTATATTTACACCTGTCCTTGACTCGCGATTTCTGCTGCTTTGGGCCCCAAAAGACAGGGCGACAGAAGAAGGAAATTCTGATATAGACTCCAACGAAGGGAGTAAGTGCAAAAATCAAATGCGTCGCCTGAGACATTCGAACTCGCGGGGAAACCCCATGTACTTAGCAGGCACACGCCTTAACCACTCGGCCAAAGCGACGTCGTTGTTCATTGAATTAAAATCTAATAATATATATGCCAAAAAAACAAAAAAACTGTTTATATTTTACAGGTTTTAAAGGCTTTTTTAACACCCACGTATGTCTTATTTTATGTTTCTATCTTGATTGTTGTCGGTTGTTTTGGATTTATGATTCTCTTTTACTTCTTATTTATGAAATAATACAATTTTCGTATCTATTAAAAAAAAAGAAAATTGTACTAAGCATGGTTGCTAAAAATGAGATAATCATATAAAGATGGAGTAATTGATTTTAACTCAGTTTTTTTTTTTTTTTTTATTGGTTGCTTGTTAAAAATGAGAGTAACTCAATATAAAGATGGTGAGTATATTGATTTTAACTCAAGTTTTTTTTTTTCTTATTTGATTAATGATATTCTATCTAAACACTATCCGTCGAAGTTTTTTTTTTTTTTTTTGATTAATTGATATTCTAACACTATCTCGAGTTTATAAAAATAAATTATATAGCATTTGATGAACGTTAAAACTAAGATTTAAAGATAGAAATAATAAACTACTTTCTCTATTTTAAAATATAAATCGTTTTAGATTTTTTGTATGGGATTACGAAAACAATTAATTATTTTAAATTATAATAAAACTAACGACAATTTGAGTTAAATTTAAGGATGATTTATGAAGATAATTATTATATATAATATAAATATAGGTAAAATTAAAAAATATCATTTATTACACTTTAAAATACTCAAAACGACTTATATTTTAAAAACAAATAATAATTTTAAACGACTTATATTTTGAGAATGAGAGAGCATTAAATATAAATATTAAGCCAACATATAGTCAACATAAACACAAAACTATAAATTTTCATAAGGTGACTTTGCCACTATGGGCAATAAAAAAGTTATTGATTTGAGCATCGTTTGTTTGGTTGAATTGTAAAGTATGAATCTAAATCAATAATTTATCGCGCTAAATGATAAACCAATTGTATCAAAAACTAATTATTAAATAATTACAAAGTAGTATATAATGTTATTTTATAATTGAAGAGGGTGACTTTGTCTATTCATTAAATAGATTACATAGTTTACCAAAAGCTTTTTTATTGAGATAAAATTTAGTTTTTGATCAAATTTTTACTTTTTTTTTACATTATAAAATCCTTTCAATTTAACAATTTTTAATTTTTATTTTAACAAAATAAATAATAAGTGGCTAACAAGGTGTTCGTTGGAGTGATAAGCAATTTCAATTTTATTTCGGAAAGTATATTTTGTTGGAATGATAAAAAAGTTTTATGCTATATGGTTCGTAAGAATTTAACCTCCTGGTTATAAAAATAATAATAATAAGTGATGGTTTTAATATGTAAAATCATATTTTCTTTGTGAATCTATATAGTTTTTTTTTTCTTTTAATATATTCTTTAATCAATTGTAATATATGAATTAGTAGGGTTGACAAAAACAAAATTAAAATAGTATATAAAAAATAGTGAATATGAATGATGTGTGAAGTAATAATTGGTTAAGGTAAAGCATTATTTTTGCTTAAATACTAAACATAATGGGAAGAATGATGAGCTTTACAGTTACAACACACACTGACACACATACATATCTCATGTGTAACGGATTTTTGGACCATAATCACATGCTTTAAGCATTTAAAATTAAATACAACACTTTCATGGGACAGCTACAAATCCAACTCTTTCTTTCCAACACGACAAAAACACTGTCTTTTACCGCGACAAGCCAAAACCAGAAACTCCTCAAACACCAAGGCAAAAAAAAAAAAAAAAAAAAAAAAAAAAAAAAAGAACAAAGAAAGTAGACTTTATTTCATTTCTCTCTGCGTAAATCCCTTACTCCTCTCTTCACTAGCCTTCAAGGATGCTCCAATCATCAGTAGTTTCCCAAGTGTCAAATCCCCATTTTAGCCCTTTCATTTACTCACTTACCACAAAAAAAAAAAAAAAAAAAAAAAAAAGAAAGTAAGCTTTATTTCATTTCTCTCTGCGTAATCCTTACTCTCTCTTCTACCTTCAGATGCTCCAATCATCAGTAGTTTCCACAGTGTCAAAATCCCATTTTACCCTTCATTACTCAACCTACACGCGCCACCATTTTTACCACCCCATTGCCGCCATTAGAATTCATGTATAACAAATTTACAATTTTAGGGTTTCTCTGTTCTGGTCTAATTCTTGGTACTGGGTAGTGAATTAAATGCTTATCCCTGGAATTATTGGGTTTCAAACCCTTTTCTTTTTCTTTGTGTTCTTGTTTTGCCTTTGGTTACACCATAAGTGGCGAAATGCGGTGGCTAGGAAGGAGGAGATCAGACGGCTTGTCGATTTGGTCTCAAAGGAGTCTGCTTTGGTAGAATTTGAGGCTGTTTACGAGTATAGTTCTTTTCCAAAACCGCACCAATGCGCCGTTTGCTTTTGCCCAACCACCACGCGCTGTTCTCAATGCAAATCTGTTCATTACTGGTGCGTTCTTTGCTATATTTTACATCGCACTTTCAATTGATTGGATATGTAAATTTTATTATGTGCATGTTTGCTGTTTGATTTCGTGTTACAAGTTGTGTGGGTTATTTTAATACCCTGCAACCTGCATCATAGAAAATAAGGTGGAAATGGTGGTGGGGATAGGATTTGTGAATCTTTGGGAGGAATTTGTGCTCTTGTAGCTATTGTTATGCTCCCTTTTTAATGTTAACTGCCAATGCGATTGGTTTGGCTTCAGCCTTTTGTTTCTGATTCAGCCAGTGGAAATGGGAAACAAAATAGATGGGAGTTATGAAATTTTGAAAAGAATACGAAAATGTGGAACGTGCCAGTAAGAAATGGAATCAGGAAGAAGATAACCAAAGAAGAAAAAGAGGAAGAAAATAATCCTGTGTATATATTTTCCTTTTTATGTAACTTGTACAATAAAGAATAACTGCTTGGTATTTATACTATATGTGTAACTGTCCCTTGTGCAAAGAATAGTAACCAACCAGAAAAACTTATAATTAAGCTTTTGACTATTTCAACTAAGTCTTCTTTCAAAATTCTCCATTTTAAGTTGCAAGTGGGATGGGGACATGTGAATGACGAATGGAGAATGTTGCAGTATAGGAATCTTGATAATTTGAGTGGTGGGAGCTATAAATGTGTTTGTGTTTGTCTGTATCAATCTGTTTGTGCTTGCAAATCCTGTAGAATTAAGCTGATGGAATTCTTCATTTGATAACATGTTAAATTCCAGCTTTAAGAAACTATGATAGTCTTTAATCTTTTCTGTAGCCTATGTATTCATGTCCTGTGACAAGACTGGTATATATGGTAGAATAGTTGAAAATGGACACTTATTCAGAACTTTTAGGTCTGGTATCTGTTCCATCCAATGTGGAAATTTCACCTGTCAGCGTCTTGGTTATTCTACAGAGAGCAGTGTAAACGTGACATTAACATTGGTGGCTCTTAAACAAAAGAATATGAGCCAACAGTTTTACCTACGTGATGTTCTGATTGCCATTATTTTCTATGTTTGGTTGGGTTAGCTAGTGTGGGTTTATTCACAGGTTTAAATATGGCAGCTTGGTCTCTATGATGTTTTCTTTTCTTTTTTTTTTTTCCTGTTTTTACAGCATATGATGCCTCTGAGCAACTTCCTGCATATCTTTTGTTGAACGTTTTAAGAAGGCATTCCTGTAAGCAGGAGTTATTTAATCGAGTTCATCCTGTTTAGGCAGGAGCATGAACCTCATTTCCTTTATGTTACTCATACTGTTTTATAATGTAGACTACAATATATTTGCTAAAAAAATTGTAAATGCTTGGACAAAATGGCTGCTTAGGCTTTTGGTTTTTCCTTGCTGAATGTCTGTTGTATTTGCATTTTAATGTGCTTAGCTGCTGTCATTTTATGCCCTTCTGTTGTATTGACCACCAGATTTGCCTCTTTTGTAGTTCTGGTAAGTGTCAAATAGTTCATTGGAGACGAGGCCACAAGGATCAATGTCGACCCCTAACTACTGCAATGCATTTGAAACTTGATAGTGAATTTTGTGAAAGATCTTCAGAAAAACAATCTGAAATGCATGTTTTGAGAAGTGAATTATTAGCCAATGTTTCTACCAATAAACAACTTGGTTACAGTTGTACAGGCAGATCAGAGACACCTTCTGAAGATGTTTTGCCTGATATACCTTGCAGTAGGGCTAGTTCTGAGGAAATGCAAGAAACTAAATTGCCTCCTCCAAAGTCTAATAAGACAGTCACTTATGTAAATAGTGTTTCTCGGCCAAGTAAGTTAAATAAGGTGAAACCCAGTTATAATGGTGAAGCGGTTGATGGTGATCCTCAGCTTCCAAATGGCAAGGTCATGTCTGATGATGTCAGGCCAGCAAAATCGGGCAATAAGAAGTTCATGAAAAAAGCTGCATTGCCAGAAATGTTAGTTACGGATTCTGCAAAGTGTAAGGGCTCAACATCCTTGAGCAGTTTGAGGTTAGATTCTGTGACTGATGATGGGGAAGACGATTCACAAGTAATTAAGGGTAAACATGCAAGATCTTTGTCATCTAACGCTTCCGGTGATCATTCACGAGATGCTTCTAATGGCTTGAAAAATTCTGTCTGGAGGAAAGTTCAGCAGTTGAAAATGAAGCAATCTCACAGTCACGAGGTGCTTATTTTTATTTCTATAATGTGCTTGATGTTTACTATGATATGTTTATAATGAGAGCTTCACATATTTTGCTGAGATGATTTGAACTAATATTGTTCAATTTGTTCATTGACAGAGAATTTTTCCATATGAACTGTTTGAGAAGCTTTACTCTTGTGACGAAGAACTAAGCCCATTTGGGCTGAGAAATTGTGGGAATAGGTAAGGAATTTTAATATAGATCCAAGACTCTTTGGTGTTTGACTGGTGCATGCCTTTTATTTTATAATGCATGCTAAGCCCTGTTGTGAGTCAGTGTACAAGATTGATATTTTGATTGTTTTTTAGAACCTTGAAGTTTGGACTAGCGGTTTGCCTTTTTGAGTAGGCTGTATGTTGTCATTTTCTTATTTATTTTACAAGAGGATCTTAGAAGCATCCTTTTCTTGTTTTCCTTTTCCCGAGAAAAAGTTAGTTTTATCATTCAACTTATGCAGTTTCTTCTTGGTAGCAATATAACTTCACTTGAAATCTTTTGCAGTTGTTATGCTAACACAGTGCTCCAATGCCTGGCGTTTACTCGGCCTCTGACTTCCTACTTTGTTCGTAGGCTCCATTCTGGCACATGCAAGTTTGCATTACTGATTCATGTTAGAATTTGTTACTTGTTTCTTAGAATTTGTTTCCTCATTTTATGGTATTTGTCTTCTTTATCAGGTCGAAAGAAGGAATGGTGTTTCATATGTGAATTTGAATCTTTGATTCTGAAAGCAAGGGAAGGGGAGTCCCCCTTGTCACCAATTAGGATTTTATCAAAGATAGAAAAAATTGGCAGTCATCTTGGTCATGGGAAAGAAGAAGATGCCCATGAATTCTTGAGGTGAACTGGTCATGAAAATGTTGCTCGTCTGTTAATTCCCATCGATGAAGTATCAAAATTTATATATTCTAAAATGTGTATGACTGTTAGTTGTTGATGTGGCAGGTATGCTGTAGATACAATGCAGTCTGTATGCCTCAAGGAAGCTGGAGCTTTGGGCGTATTGGCTGAAGAAACAACTCTAGTAGGACTAACTTTTGGGGGTTACCTTCGATCAAAGGTTGTTTATGTTTTGTTGGTACTTTAATGTTCACAGTCTTATTTAACTGCTATAACCCAATTGAAGATCAAACTGTCCTGATTATATTTCTTCCATTTGGAATATTGTGATTGGGATTTTCAGATAACGTGCATGAAGTGCTTTGGCAAATCTGAAAGATTTGAACGGATTATGGATTTAACTGTTGAGATAGATGGGGACATTGACACCCTTGAAGAAGCTTTAATGCAATTTACGGCTTGTGAAATGTTGGATGGAGGGAACAAGTACATCTGCAGCAGGTTTGTTCAGTAGCTTGGGTATTTGTTGCTTAAGAATTAGAGGTGTTTGAGGGCTAGTTTCATTACTTTCTATTAGCCATTAGGCTACTCGTGCAGTGTTTGGTTTGGATAACAGAAAGCAATGCTTAAAAAGCAAAATTGTTATTTTTTATGAAACAAAGAAAATTAGTTCCTTGATGTAATTGCCTTTTTCTTTTCTCCTGTGAAGTGGAATTCATATATTTATTAAATATAGTTTCTTATTGTTAGTATTTGCTTTTAAGTAAAGGCAAATTTGTATAAGCACAGTTAAATGGAAAAATAAAGTGCAAGCAAACCCATACATGTTAGCTTTCCTTGTCGCATAGATTCAAAAGGTTCTTTGGACCCTAGAAATGCATCTATAACATAGGTTAATCAGTTTGAGGTTTTGGCCACAAAAATTGAATTCTTCATCTCATTATTATTATTATTGTTGTTGTTTAATCAGGTGTAAATCTTATGTGAAAGCTAAAAAGAAGCTGTCATTATTAGAGGCACCTAATATCCTTACAATTGTGTTAAAGCGGTTCCAGGTAATTAAGTACTGGATTGATTCCGCACAATTTATAGTAATTTTTTGACAGAAGATAAACTTGTTCTCTTCATATGATTTTAAAACATTGCTGGTTCTATATTCTTGCAGTCTGGTAATTTTGGGAAGCTGAACAAGTCAGTTCGTTTTCCTGAGGTCCTTGATATGGCTCCATATATGTGTGGAAAAAGTGATAAATCTCCTCAGTATAGTCTTTATGCAGTGGTTGTTCATAGGGATATGCTGAATGATACTTCTACTGGTCATTATGTCTGTTACATAAAGACTTCCCATGGCGAATGGTTTGGGGTTAACGATAGTATAGTACGTAATCTCTCTTTCATTGATAAAATTTCTATTTGAAATGGAGGCTTTAACTTTGTTTCTTTTTGAAGATGCTCCTCCATCCTCTTCTCTCCCTCATCCCCCCTTGCCCCTCCTCTACCAAAAAAAAAAAAAAAAAAAAAAAATAGTATAGTACGTAATCTCTCTTTCATTGATAAAATTTCTATTTGAAATGGAGGCTTTACTTTTGTTTCTTTTTTGAAAGATGCTCCTTCCATCCTCTTCTCTCCCTCCTCATCCCCCTTGCCCTCCTCTAACCCAAAAAAAAAAAAAAAAAAAAAAAAAGAAATAGAACAAGAAGAAAGAAGAGGAATATTAGAGAAAGAAAAAGAATGGACATGAACCTTATGTTATTTAGAGGATTCTATGTTTGTAGGCATGTGACTATTAAAAACTGAACTTGTAAAAAAAAAAAAACAAAAAAAAAAGAAAAAAAGAAAAAAAAAAAAAAAAAAGAAAAAAAGAAGAAGAGGAATTTAGAGAAAGAAAAAGAACATGGACATGACTATGTTATTAGAGGATTATATGTTTGTAGGCATGTGACTATTAAAAACTGCACTTATAACCTACATTTAAGAGGCATTCTTATTAGATAGTGCATTAAGTTAAGATAACCGCAACTGCTATCTTGCACTTCTCTTCTTCGTAATGGGTACAAACAGACTTGATGGGACTGTTGAAGAAAGAAAGTTTTGGTTGCATAGTGTGAGAAATACGAAAATTAATTTAGGATGAATTCTTTGTTTCCTACACCTGTTGATTAGTATTTTAGTATAACTACGTTGTCTATACAATTTTTGATAATTATGATAAGGAGGTCAAATTTTATTTTCAAAATTATTTTATCTGATTGGTGGATCCTGATTTTCTGTAGGTAATGCCTGTAGAATTGGAAAGGGTGTTATTGGAAGAGGCATACATGCTCCTTTATGCAAGGTAAAATGCTTTTTGCATCTCAGTTTGACATGAAATCTTATTTATGTGTGTATTTACATTTCAGTTCTCTTATTTTAGACACCATCCTCGAGCCCCATCTGTATTGAAGAGTAATGTAGAGACATACGGAGTGAAGCTCGAGAAAAGAAATTTGGAAGCTGTACCTTCCAGCCTTAATACATCAAAGGCAAAGTCAAAGTCAAAGTCCCACTTTCCAACTGCTGATCCATCAAAGCCACAACTGAAGCATGGCAAATACCCATACCGGATGACTCCCGATGATTCGATCAGTAATAAGTTGCTGGAACCAGATGATTGGAGATTCCATCTTGTGGACTCATCAAGTGAGAGTTCCTCCCTTTTTAGTTGGTCTGATGCAAGTTCTTGCAGCACCGCGAGCACAAAGGGCTCAGTGAAGAGTGAAGACTTTTCCGATTTCCTATTTGGTGAAGCGGGACCTGGTTGGTGTGGCCATGGCCATTGCGGGCTTTCATCAGATGCTGCTGCCCCTCCATTGTATAGAAATGGTGATGCAGATTTGCATAGGAGAAAGGATAGTTGGAGACAACCGCCTCCACAGAATGACTGGAGATAGGATGTAGATGGGCATGGAAACCTGCATTCTTTGTACACTGATACAGGTAAAAAAGAAAAAAGAAAAAAAAAAAGAGAATGTGGAAAGTTAACCAAGAGAAAATGTGGAAAAGTTAACCCCCCCCCCCCCCACCCCAAAATTTTGGTACGTAAACAGTAGGTAACCTGCTCGGAAGCAATTAGTGTAGGCTTAACCCTTCCATAATTCCCCCCCCCCCCCCCCCCCCCAAAATTTTGGTAGTAACAGTAGGTAACCTGACTCGGAACAATTAGTGTAGGCTAACCCTTCCATATTAGGAGGAAAGTGGGGATAGATCAACTCAAAACGTTTTGTTGAGGTTTGAGTTGAGATGAATTTAAGCTTCTAGACATTGTTGCTGTAAGTGGAACATAAATTAATCATCAATTCTTTTTACTCTTTCTATTCCTTTTCACTTCCATTTGGAGTTACTAAAATGTAGTAATGCCATTTTAGATATTGCAGTTGTCTACAATTTCCTATGTATATCATATACCATTTCTAAAACGATGAATGTGATTGATGAAATATCTAAAACAATGCTGGTTTCGATGATCTCATTTAATGTCTAAAGCGTCAGATTGTAGTGTATTTATCACTAAGTTAACATCTATTGTGCATTGTACATATAGTTCCATCTACGTTATTGGAAAGTACTCTCTTGTTGGGAGGATAACTCTTGAGGACTCGAAAAGGTTCTTTCACGTCAAAATAATGGAGGAACACCTTCTTGTTATATATATAAAAAAAAAGGTAATTTTGAAAAAAAAAGAGGGAAATATTTATTTTTTCTGTTTTAATTTTTCAAAGATGTCGTGCGAATTTGTGACCCAACACCAACGGCAAGGCCCGTTATCTCTTCAAGATCGGTGCTAATCGGCTAAACCAAAAGAAGCCTCTCAAAAACCATTAGAAAGGAAACCAAATGCCTGCAGCAATAACGCTACCCAGTTACCACCACCACTGTCAGAAGCTGAGCCACCATATATCCGCCTCAATAGTTGCGATCTCAACTATCAAGAGAACAATGGTCACCACCAGCAGCAGCAGCAGCAGCAGTAGCAGTGCCGGTGCTTACACGACGATCAAAGAGAGAGTCACTTTCGAAAAAGAAATCAAAAAGAGCAAATTCATCGCCATTGCTGGTCCTATCTCCGACGAACAATCCGCCTTCTCCTTTCTCTCTCAGGTACAAACACATAAATAGAAAGGAGCCTGACTTAATCTAACCTAACCATTTATTCACTCTATTTTTATAGGTTAGAGATCCACGCGCCACTCATAATTGTTGGGCTTATAAGGTACTTCGCTCTATTGTTGATTTTAGGTAATCGATTTTGTTATTTTGTTTAAATCTAACATTTTTTTTTCCGGCGTTATAGTTTGGAGATCAATTTCGGTCTAATGATGATGGTGAACCATCAGGCACTGCTGGAAAACCAATACAATCTGCTATTGATTCTTCTGGAATTGATAGAGTTATGGTTGTAGTGATAAGGTGGTTTATTGTTTTATTTCAGGTTTCCTTCTTTGTGTGTTTAGGTTTGGTTTGAAAAGCTTGGAATTTAATTTGATTATGGAATTGAATCATTTGTAGGTATTTTGGGGGTATCAAATTAGGCACTGGAGGATTGGTCAGGGCTTATGGAGGAGTTGCATCAGAATGCTTGAGAAATGCCCCAACTTGTCTTGTTAAAACTAAGGTATTTTGGTTCTTTTGTTGGGTTTCCATGCATTTGCATATTTGACTCTGTTGAATATCCAATTTATTCAAGAGTTACTCAAGATGATTTCATGTGAATAATTGAAAATTGTCAATTCATATTATATCTGTGAGTGGGATTTAACTTGTATTGGATTTAGATATTGATTTTGGATTCCGTAGGTAGCAATGGGCGTGGAGGTTCCGTTTGATCTCATAGGAATTTTGCACCATCAGGTGAGCATGATGTAACTGCTGTTTTGATCTCCTTTTTATACATGATAGAACTGATTCTGCCAATTGTTTAGAAAAGAAAGGAGGTAGTTCTTGAGATGCATTTCTAGTGGTTGTTTTGGTGTGTGTCAATGGTATTATTACTCCATTAAGCAGTTAAACGTCTTTATCCATGTAATCCTTTGTCTGCTCTAACTGTATTGAATTATCTCTCTGTTGATCAATCCCTTAACAATCCTATTACATAATTTCACATTCTTGGAATTAGCTTGTTGCTTCTTGCTGTTTTCTATCATGTTGCTTGAGCAGCTTGACCTTGTGATCAAAACTTATTCATCACGGTTATGTAAAGGAGGCAATAGTTGCTTACATGGTTTCTGGAAATTCTGTGATTAAAATTCATCCATGATAATTTCTGGCTCCAGCATAGGCCACCATCAGAACTTGGACTCAGTACTACACAGTTTTGGAAATTAGAATATAGGTGTAAATCAGCTGCTTCACTTAATTGCTTCCTTAAATACCATCTTCTTGTCATTTGCCACTTGTTCCTTTCTTTTCTTTTTTTTTTTTTTTTTTTTTTTTTTTTTTTTTTTTTTTTTTTTTTTTTTTTTTGCTTTCGTTTTATGCTGTTCTATGCTTAAAAGGTGTAGCTTGTCCTCTTTGCAAAAGCAACTTTGAAGAGTTTGCAACTTCAACTGTTTTCTTATCTAGTGCTTGGTTGAAACAGCTACAATCTTTTCAAGTTGAGAACATCAGGCAGGATTATGAGACCGGTAAAGATGGCATCGCCATTGTTTCTTTCAAAGTTGATTATGACCAGGTTGAGCAATTGGAGGATGCTATAAAATCTAACTGTAGTCGAGAACTTGTATTCTATAAGAGGTGAGAGAGACTTAGATGTTAAGCATACATTGAACAGACATTGTTGAATGTGATGAGTAGTATGTATGCTCCTACACCACTTTTGAAGCAAATCATGTCCTTTGTATAGTAAAAGGTTAGATGTAAATCTAAAGTTAGTCTTCTTTTTGTTTATTAAACAATTAATTTTTGGCAGCTATAGACGAAGCACTATTGAGTTGCTTAATATAAGCTTGTTTTTATTGAGATTCTCTCTTCAAAGTGAACAATACACAACCCTAGTTGCCATCTTGTTCTTTTACTTGTTGCGTGCATTTCCACCTGATTGGATTTGGATAGAAATAGAACCTTTGTCTGCAATGCTTGTTCATTCTAATTTCTTATTGTTGCGAGTACGATGTTGTCATACACTTTTAAGGTGTACTAGCTAGAGGTGGCCTGGTTGCCTCATCGGAAACTGTTCTAATCAAAGCAAATGGAACCACCTGCTCCAGGAAATGGTTCCAGCTCTGATTCTGAGAAATTGGACCAGAATTAAACCCTTGTTTCCTATTGAAGGTTTGGTGCTGGTTCCAATCCAGTTAACCAAAAAAAAAAAAAAAAAAAAAAAAAAAAAAAAAGAGAGGCGCCTTTGAAAACATAGTCAAAAAGTAGGTGAGGAAACAGCTGGAAGTGGAAAAAAAAAAAAAAAAAAAAGAGAGGCGCCTTGAAAACATAGTCAAAAAGAGTAGGGAGAAACAGCTGGAAGTGGCCAAAACCAAAAGGACCGGCTGATTCTCATCCAGTTCCCCTAGTTGGAAGCAGAAGGTTTGGTTCTGGTTCAGTTTGAACCAGCGGCCAAGCCTACTAGCATATGCAAGTTGTTGCCGGCTAATCGTGTCATGCAAAATGGCCAATTACTGCGGTATTCTTGCTCCATATGTCACGGACTCCAGCCTGTTCTATACCACAGAGGGCGTTTTATTTGCTCTGGAAATGGAATTGCATAGGTACATGACTCTGTTATTTTGTTTGAAATAGGGTTCGTTGGTGACTTCTATTTCTAATTTGATAATCTCTGTGAGAAGTAAAATTGTACACGTGTCTCCCATTAATCTCATGTTGGAACGGAACTCTCCGAAGGATAGACATATGTTGTATTATAGTATATATTTGCAAACATGTGAATGCACAAATCTCGTCAATTAAAATGTAAAACTGAATTCATTTAATAAAGAAATCAATTAATCAAGTAAAGATTCTAATAAATCATTTGATGGAGCTGATAGTTACCATTTTTATTTAAGATCTTATTGCATGACACTATTCACCCTGATGTAGGAATAACATACCGATTGGCATTTTGTAGGAACCTAACCAAAGCAGCATACTCTACAGATGACCTCTCAAAAGCGTTACAACGGTGCAATGATGGTAAGAACAGCCAAAAGCCGGTAATCGTCACAAATCCTACTGTCAAAGGCCCTGAGATCAACGGTGACAACTGCTACCTACCGGAAACTGCCTTCTTCAAAGCAACCTCAATAGCCAGACACAATCCATGGAGGAGAAAAAAAGATGTGAGTTCCCATGTTGGCTTCTTACGTCCAAGGTAATAGAACACAAGTTCATGCATAAGAGCTGAAACAAGGAATGTCCACAAGATTGCTGGAACCGGGGCCCATTTCCTGCCGACAAGACATGTGCAGAGGTTGCGGGTGGGTTCGTAAACAGTGGGTCGCAGTATACCCGGAACCACTAAGTTCCATCTTCTGCCCCAAAAGTCTTGTAAAGAGGTTGAAACATATGGCTCATTGAACTGTGGGTCTAGCTCTAGCCCTAACGAGACTCGAGCCAGAGCTCCAACTATGACTAGGACTAGTTCAAGAGAAACATAAACTTGAAGACAATATAGAAAAGGTATAATCTTTGGGTGAATATGGTCACTATAGTTATAAACATGTATTAAAAGAGCAACTACTAAGGTTTTTATTGTGTAATTTAGAGTTGATTTTTGAGATGGGTTCTTTTGGATGTTGATGGGTAGAGAAGCTAAAGCAACAAACTGGGGAAGAGATAACGAGGAAGTTGAAGATAGAGGGCCTTTGTCAAAAGCGAAGAGCAATAGCTTGAAATTTGCAAGCCAAGCAATGAAAAAAGAAGTTGGGCCTCCAATATGCATTGTAGAAAGATGGAGAGGAAGGTAAAGAAATAGGCATATAATTGGGAGTACGCAAAAGAGTCTTTTAGGTCCCTTTGGAATTTCATGACCCAAAGCATAGCAATAGCTTAGAGAGATAAAAACTGAAACCCAAATCTTGATGAAGTTACGTATCTCATTCTGCATGATATATTACTTCTTTGAATTCTATTCCTTCTTCTTGATGATGATGATGAATATATATATATATAATTCGATAAAATCAAGAGAAATGTTCTCATATTGTTTTACATGTTGAGGAAGACGAGTTAATAAAACGAATTGTAAAATCCGTCCAAATGGAGGGTTAAAGATACTTTGGTGGAAGAAATTACCATAATGATAAATCCTTGTATTAATTGACACTATAAACGGCAATAATTTTTTTTAGTAGTTTTTAGCATTTCGACTAGTTAAAATACTAAACGTTATTTTTATAGTATTCGATAATATAATGTTTAAATTAACTTTTAAATTGTGGCTCAGGATTTCAATCTATCGGTAGCATTAAAACAATAATTTTAAGGAAATCCTATTAGGTTTCAAGAATTTTCTTCATGGTGGTGGTAGAAGGGGCAAACATTGCCTTGTTAAAAACCTTAATTGAATCTTGGATCTTTGCCATGTTAAATGAAAAGCCTCCTTCAAGAACTGCATCTTTCAATAATGCAGTTGCGGATGAGAATTAATTTTATAATGCACGTTTGCTTCAAAGTACAAACCATTTAATTAATTTTATAAGCCTCATTTTTAAAATTTTTTTCCAAACCAATTTAGATCCTTTAGTACAAATATAAGCTATCATGCCAATTGTTAATTTTTGAAGCTCTGATACCATTTATAATTATAGATAAATAGATAGATAATTTATTATGGATAATATTAATCTCCTTTCAATAAATGTTGAGGTGGGCATGTTAATTTTTAGTTTTCTTAAAGTTAATTATTGTATTTTAAATTTATTTAAACAATATATTTTTATTGTCTAACATACTATAATTTTAAAGGGAAAACTTACCTAGTTCTATTTACCCTACTAATAGACTAAATCAATAAAAGTAAGGATTCTTATTGAAATAAGTCTATTTCTGTCCATGCATTTGAAAAGAAAAAATTATTTAAGTAATAATAAAATTAACGAAAATTTATTTTTATTGATAATTATATTAATTTTTATCAGTAAGTTTTAAATAAATATTTTAAAGTTAAAAATTATTTATCTAGACCGAGTCTATGGCTCTAGTTATGAACCATATTAGTATTTTGACTTTTTTTTTTTCTAAGCGTATTGAAAATTATTTATCTAAACCGAGTCTATGGCTCTAATTATGAACCATATTAGTATTTCGACTTTTTTTTTTCTAAGCGTATGGTAAGAAATACACTCCTTTCGATATGAATTTTTAATTTTATTAGTTTGATCAATTAATGAAGCCATAAATTCAATCTAGATAAGTTTTTCTCATACACAAAGGAAACAAACATTAAGAATCATCAATTTTTTTACATATACCAAGTGAAATGTAAATTTAGATGATAAGGTTAATATTAGTATAGCATACTTATTGCTTTTGAGTCACTTATAACTCATTATTTTGAGTAAAGATTTATACTTTATCCATTTAATATCAATTAAAGTTTTAACGTGAGTATGATAAAGATATAATATTTCTCAAATAAGAACAGGTAATTTATACAAATGACAACAAAATGAATTTCTATTAATTTCTACTAATAAATTTCTATTAATAAGAATAGGCAAATAACATTACCTCTCAAACAGTACCTCAAAATCACATTTAGAAAATGATCCGGTGAACTAAGTTGACTTGATCCAACCCCAACCCAATTATGAAACTGGTTCAGTGTTCATTTCATTTTAAAAACATTGATCCAAGTATTCTAAATCACTGGTTACTTCACTTTCTATCCGGATTTCTAAAATTTGCAAAACATTCTCTGGTGGGCATTTATGAGCAGGATCCTGTGCATCTGTCTGACAGAAACATTCAGGCCAAGGATTTGTATAAAATGATTCAGGTGCAACTCGTTTGTGAGGACCACCAAAGTTTGTTTTGAGCATGACACGCCTAACAGCTTCTTCAAAACCAGCTCTCCGCCCATTCTTTCGATCAAAGAAAATTGGGGCAAGACCTTTTGTGTCAGGTCTAATTGTAGTCCAGAAGCCAGAATAGAGGCGGTGGCCCGGAAGATTGTTTGCAAAATTTCTTGGTCCATCGTTTGTAAACACAAAAATGTCAGCAAGGAGAAAGACCATGTAACCTACAGCAGATTCTAACAATCCAGGGGTGTTCCTGGCTTCAACAGAATTGTGATTCTCATGGCAAGGGAATAGAGCTTTGAATGGTTTCACAAAACGCTCCCCACCAAACAGTTCCCCAGCTGATAGATATACCCGGGTGGAATTGTCAAACCCCATTGCCCGTAACATAAGTCCAACCTGTAGTAAGAAGAATTACAGCATTAGAACATATGTCATTTAATGGCAGTCAGATATCAACCAACAATGTATAACAACATTTCTAAGCTTGATTGAGTAAAAAAAAAAAAAGATTACATGTTGTTGAAACCAGAAAAGATTACCTCTTCTGGAGTTAAAAGGCATTTTCTTTTGGATTTCCTATCACCGTAAATCGGTACAAAATCGTACTTGCGATACAGGTACTTCTTCATTAATGTTTTGATCTCTGCATGGGTAAATATGTTGAAGCACCTGAAACAAATTCACATCCATCAATCAGTACATCATCATTTTCTTCTACAGCATATAGAAAGCATTATTATGAATTGAAGGAGTTCCCGTAAGTAGCAGCGAAAGCTAGAAAACAGTTCAAGTGAGATTGTAAATGACATATTTTATTGAAACATATGAAAATATTAAAACAGTTCACCAAAAGCATGACTAAACAAATGTCAGAAGCCCCCTCACACAAAGAACTTTAAAATTTCTTCAGGGCTAGATTACGAGGAAGAACGCTAAGGTGGTTTAAATATCAAGAAAACAATAAGAAAACGAAATAGTAATTTAATCACAAAGAAACAGACCATGCATCTAAATACCTAATCCAATAATTTATTAAGAGGCTTCATAATTCCTACGTGACATAAGCATATCTAACGAGGAACCTGGCAAATCTATAGAGTATTTAAATTGGGTAAATGATAAAAAAAAAAAAAATCATGAAATATGCTATTTTTTATAAATTTAAACAATTCTTTTAATTTTAACAATTGTAATAGTGAATTTATTTTTTATTTTTGCTATTATAGCATCCAGCATATCCATTATGAAATTGCTTATGTTGCCGTTAGTGGAATCCACATTTTGACACATCAGCACCACATCACCGTGTCATGTCAAAAAAAAAAAAAAAAAAAAAAAAAATAGCATCCAGCATATCCATTTTATGAATTGTTATGTTTGCCGTTAGTGGAATCCCACATTTTGACACATCAGACCCACATCACCGTGTCATGTTCAAAAAAAAAAAAAAAAAAAAAAAAAACAGAAGCCGAATAACTAAGAAAAAAGCCTGAACTTTGCCTATTTTTACAATTTTAGCCAATTTTTAAAAAAAAAAAAAAAAAAAAAAAAACAGAAGCCGAATAACTAAGAAAAGCCTGAACTTTGCCTATTTTTACAATTTTAGCCAATTTTTTTAAGTTTAAAAATATCATACAAGTTGTTTCACAGTATTTATATATACATACTTAGCACATAATTCATTATAGTTTAATCATGTGAAATAATTAATATATTTTACAAAAGTAAGAATTTAATTTCAAAATACTAAAATAACATTATAACACACAAATATATTATATATTTTTCTATTTAACTTAAATTTGAAAGTTTTTAAATTAAAAAATAAATTATTGTAACCCAAAATTTAATTTTAAAATAAATAACTTTTTAAAAATATAACAAATTGAAAGAAATAAATCATATGACATCAATTATCAATTATTTGACTCTTTTTTAGCTGACGTGGCATGGCCATGTGGTAATGATGCTGTCAAAACACAGATCCCACTAACTACAACATATACATAACAGAAGCTATAATTGCAACTAAAAAATAATTTCAGTAGTACGATTCTTAAAATTAAAAAGAAATTATAATTGCAACTAAAAAATAAGTTCAGTAATACAGTTCTTAAAATTAAAAGAATTGGTTAAATTTACAAAAATAACCATAGTTCAAGATTTTTTTGATCATTTACCCATTTAAATTCCATCAATCCAAATGACTTCCTTGGGGGAATTATAATTTTGTCCAATCTTTTGAACATGCTCATGCACATTAATTCTCAATAAATAATTAATTGATTATCTCACCCAAAAAATTCAAGCATATCAATCTCAAAAGGAAGATGTATTGCCATGAAGCGACCTTGTGCCTGCAATTTGTCAATTATAGATTCACTCAGCTCCATAATTTGTGGCTTAAATCTCAAGGCATGGTAGTTAACCCTGCACCTCAACCGCCGGTACTCAGCATTGTCAATTTCTTCAGCTAAATGATGTGAAAAGGGAGTTAGATAAATAGCTCCATGTTGCTTCATCTTCTCCAAAGCAACAGTTGTATACCATCTAATAGGAGCATCTATAGGTGGCCACAACTAAGGTAAGGAGGAAAATTTAAAAGGGAAGAAAAAATTAGTAATGCAAAAAGTATTCAGAAGCTTAAAATATATGATCTTCTAAGAAAATGGGAGAGAAGAGCTGGTTTTAGCATTTTCAAGGCAACAAAAAAAAAGTATATCTTAAACACATAACAAAGGAAGAGATAAAGATGAAGAGGAAAAACATAAATTCATTACTCATAGTAAAAGGATTTACAAAGTATAGAAAACAAAGATTTTTTTCTTCTTCCTCTTTCTTCTCATAGCTATCCAGCTCTCTCCTTTTTCTCTTTGTTTTTTTCTTTCTCTCAAATCTGTCCCAGCAGCTACATTTATACAAAGAAATGCAATCTAGTTTTTACCAACTCTCTACCAAACCCAATAACTTAAGTTAAACTAACTAAGAAGTAAGCTTTGCTGTCATCATTTTGTTCAAGTTTACAAGAAAGGAAAATATCAAAAACAGAAGACGAATGAGATGGGACAGCCTAAGTGTCAATATTGCTAATAGATCTGCTTAGTTTCGTGGATAAGATGGTATAATTTACAAATTTTCTACCTCTAAAGACTCTATCTTCTCGGCATTTTCACGAAATTCTGGTATGCTTTCCACAATACGTACATCATACCTTAGTGACTGGACAAAATGCTCAACATCATAAATGTCATGGAAGCCACTGAACACAGAAAAAGACAATATGTTTCAATTCCATGATATGCACTAGAACATTATGTCAAAATTGATAAAGTGACTTAATAGAAATAGATTTACCCAAATCCTACAAAAGGCATATGAATGAAAAATGGAATTTTACCGAGTCCTACTGTACAATATATTTACCGATCAACAATGTATGATCATGATTTTGGTAACAAATTATACGAGATAGACTCCGTTTCCATATAGAAGACAGGTGATAATTATAGTAAGGCTTTAAATGCTGTCAATTCCATGTGACCAAAAAAGCCAATTAACAAACTATGCTTTGGTCAACCTCAAGCTTTTCAAGAATCTCATGTAGGAAGTTAGTTGGAACCTTGCCAGGAAAAGGTTGAGTATTCAAATTCTACTCCAATGAAGAATGCGAACAGCAAAATTCTTTTTATCACACGAGTTGTGCAGAAAGAAAGAAAAAAATTGCAATCGCTAGCTTTATATAAACTTCTATCCACCAGTTCCAGACTATGTAATATCACGGTTCATGATCCCAGTCATATTGTGTTTATTGTAATGCCGAAAGGAAATGCCGAGGAAAATATGGTGTCCTCCAAATGCTACCTTATCTAGTCCTTCCATTATGTAGTAACTAGGAATTTGCATTAAATCATGTATCTAAATTCAATGATGTCTGCCAGGTCCAATTAAAAAAATTCTTCAATTAATGATTTCATTTAAAATATTCAGCCGGAAAAGAATTGTTAAATACTTCATTTAACAGATAAATAAATCAGAAATTTGAAGAATCCGCACGCTAGAAACAGATACCTGTCCTCGTGCCAGAAAGAGTTAGCATCCAACTCAGGCAACACAAGTGTAGCATTCATGATTCTAGCTGCAAGGACGGCATTACAAATCTGTAACATCAAAGTAGTGCATATTAACTATTTTCAAGCAAAATCCACTGAATAGGCATTACCATCCTGATCTTGGCCACATGTAGCTTGACACAAAATCTAGTTTGATGCTATAAGCAATTAAGACACATTGATTCCTTATTTATCAAAATAAATGAATTTATATGGCTTCATATTTTCTCCAATGTAACACACTGGAAAAATAAGAGGAAAATCGGGGGAAGCTACAAGGGGAGCATATGGACGAGAAAAAGCAGGTTTAAAGAGTAGAATATCAACCGCAATTCGTTGCTGATTAAAACCACCATTACAGCGAACACGCAGATATCCATTGGTCTCTTTTGGAGGAGCTGTCACAAAAATAGAATAAAACATATATTATTATTATGCAATCAGGGGACTTGTCCAAGGTCTATATCTTTGAGAAAACAGGGAAGACATACGAGGCCAATCAAATCTTGGAGCAGATGATGGCCTCCAGCCACCTGAATTAGCACTTTCCCAAAGATCTTCAACATGGATCTACTCGAACAAAGCAAGAAAGGAACATTCAGATTCCAGATTAATTATGGGTACTAGTAAGCACCACCCCAAAGGAACAGGCAAGTAGGAAATAAATAAAGTCTTATACACAGCAAACCTTTCATAATTAGTCCACAAAATCATCCAAGCAATCAACCAAATCCGTTCAGAATTTGATCTGACAAGACAAAATACAAACCTAGAACAAAAGCAAGTGCTATCATTTTTTTTTCGTACAGTTAAATTTTCCACGACCATACTATTTCAGATTCCCCATAAATTCCGAGAACCTCAAAACAATTTCCTTACTGTGAACGGAACGAATTTAAAAGCAATCAAAAATAACTTCCAATATACAGCTCCAACTAACCTCCGATGGAAAAGAGGATCCGCTACTCCGCGTACAGATCAAGAGAAAAATCACAGCAATCGATAGCTTCACGAGCATTCCCTTCAGGCCTCCTATAGTGCTTGCTTCGAATGCTGCTTGTGGTGTCCTAACCTTTCATCAGCAAACGCGTAAACGAACAATATCGTCAAATACCAAGGAAAGTAACGCATAAAAAATATTTCCAAAAAGAAAAAGAAAATGGAAAGAGAGAGATTTTACCGGAAAATGTCTCGTACCTTCTCATTTGACATCTCTTTCGGAAAAAACCCGACCCAAGAAGCTTCTAATGATTCAATTTCAAATTGTTAAGAGTAATGGCTAAAATAAAAATGGATTCTCCCATTCGGTCTCTCTATGAATTTTGTGATGTTGGTTTGGTCTTCCGGCATTTTCTACCCTGACTGAGCAATGATTAGTTGAGTTTTGAGGATTGATAAGGGGATGACGCGTGTATAGAAAAAGAAAGAATTGAACTTTTCAATCCGGCTGTCTTCTTACCCAAACGTAATATATATGTTTCCCGCCCTTTTTTTTGGCCAAATTTGTACTCCTTAATTTTTGTATGTAATTTAAATTTTATTTATAATTGTTATAAATTATAATATTATAAATAATTTTATATTGCTAAAAAAATCCAACATCATTCATAAAATAGAAAAAATAGTATTATTAAATCATTTTTATTCTATAGTGCTTAATATTTCATTTAACTAATATGTTATTTTACTAAATAAAATAAAAAATATGTTTCTAATAATTTTATTTGTAAATATATTTAATATTTAGTCGGTGTCTCCGTCTAACTGCTTAATTGAGAATATCATATATCATTCTTAAACTACAATTCATGTACAATGTTTACAATATAGGTAACCATGTCCTAGAAGATGGAATCTGAATTTGTTGGCTGTTACAACTAAAACTAGATGTATGCAATTTTTAATTTTATGGTATAAATCCTCAATTTCCTCACTAAAACAACACTTAAAGATAGCAAATGATCAATCTCTGCATGTTGCAGGCTTACTATTAGGCATTATAGGGTCTATAATGGCGTCCAAAGCCGTTCTCAGAACATCTAACTGTCTATTCCCATTTATCCCTTGAACCCACAAAACACTCTTGGTCCAACCACACACTGCCACTATTTCTACCCTCACTACCTTCCCTTTGCCTGACATCACAGCCCTTTCAATATCTGACATTAGCTTCTCTTTATCGTCACAGCTGAACATGACCTTTACAAGCCTTTGTCCTTGCCTCTTGCTGTACTCTACACTCAGCGTTTCTTTTCCACCAGGAAATAGACCAAAACCATATATTTCTTTCAATTCTGATACTGTATTCTCCAACTCTTTCACCCGCTGGATCGTCTCTGCAAGAACTGATGCTTTGTTCCTCTGTGGTTTAGCACAATTGTGTTGTTCAGACTAAAATAATATTGTATTTGGGTTTTGAATTTGATTTGAGAAGATTGAATTTTGAATTGCAAATGTGAATTGTAAATTTTAAACAAAAGTAGTCTATCAGGTGTATTGGAAATTACATACATGTTAAAGGTGTATGAAATTCATCATCTTAAAGATTCTAAAACTGTTAGCAATAGTGACACTTAGGCTGTCCCATGTCATTCATCTCGTGTTTTTGATATTTTCCTTTCTCGTAAACTTGAACAAAATGATGACAGCAAAGCTTACTTCTTAGTTTCGTTTAACTTAAGTTATTGGGTTTGGTAGAGCTGTCCCATTGTTCATTCATCCTCGTGTTTTGATATTTTCCTTTCTCGTAAACTTGAACCAAAATGAATGACCAGCAAAGCTTAACTTCTTAGTCGTTTAACTTAAGGACACTTAGGCTGTCCCATGTCATTCATCTCGTGTTTTTGATATTTTCCTTTCTCGTAAACTTGAACAAAATGATGACAGCAAAGCTTACTTCTTAGTTTCGTTTAACTTAAGTTATTGGGTTTGGTAGAGAGTTGTTAAAAACTAAGATTCCATTTCTTTGTATAAATGTAGCTGCTGGGACAGATTTGAGAGAGAAAAAAAAAGAGAAAAGAGAGAGAGCTGGATAGCTATGAGAAGAAAGAGGAAGAAGAAACAAACTTTGTTTTTTATGCTTTGTAAATCCTTTTACCATGAGTAATGAATTTATGTTTCTCCTCTTCATCTTTATCTCTTCCTTTGTCATGTGTTTAAGATATACTTTTTGTTGTTTCCTTGAAAATGCTAAAACCAGCTCTCCTCTCCCATTTTCTAACAAAAACTTTTTATGGATTTCACTCAATTCCAAATCCATAAATTTAACTAATCCAAACAATAATTTTTGTTCAATCCAAATTCCACCTTTCAAATTTATGAATCCAAACACAACATAAAATAATGGATCATTTGTACATCTTTCTGCAGTGGAGTGTGTTACCTACTTTTATTAAGTTTGGAAGGAAGCTGCGCAGCTTAGCGTACTGATTATTGATTCGAACTCGCCTTTTCCTCTCAGCTTCCTTATGTTTCAGGGCAGAAACTACTTTGGCCTCTCCCTTTGACATGGAAAGTGAACTTCTATAATTCAATGCATCCATGAAGCTTTCAGATGAATGCAAATTCATTTTCTTTGAACAAGTTCCTGGATTATGGTAACTTGAAATAAGCAAAGAAGCAAACTATTTTAGAAGTGAAAAGAAACCAATCAATACACAACACATACAGAAGCGAAAGAGAAACTGCAAGAGGAAGAGATACCTAATGTGATGAAACAATTCCGCTATTTGTACACATGAAGAGCTGTAAATGCTAATTAATGAGGATTAATAAGATGGATTACTATAAAAGATACATCCCATAATGAGAAAAGATTACAAATCAAATTTAATAAATAATACAATCTTCAAATGGGTCCTGCGCAGATATATTATCTTTAATAATTATTTAGAGTTGGCAATTGCAATTTTTTACTTCTTCTGCACAGATTTTGTGATAAAGAGAAAACTGTGATTCACATTATTCATTGGAGTAGGATTTGAGTACTGAATCTTTTTGTGGCAAGACTCCATTAAATTCCAACACGGATTCTTAAAAGCCTGAGGATGAACAAAGCATGGTATGTTAATTGACGTAGTATTGAACTCTGGGACTCATTTTGTTCTATTCGCGAAGACATGAGCTTGACTGCCTGAGCTCCATCTTGAAGAAAATTAAAGGGCTTAGCGGGGATCCGTTCAAAATTTTTATTTAGAATGTAAATTTATCATTATAATTAAAGTTTATTAATAAAAAATATATCAATAAATTATTGCGCATAGTTTAATTATGACTATTGTTTAAATAAATATTTTATTATATTATATTGTAAGATGATCATAAACTATTTTCCTTCAAAAAAGAAATTAAAGAAATAAAATAAATAATCTCTTTCACCTTCTACAATTATAGCTAGCTATTTCTCACATTGGTTCTCTGTGAGAATCAAAGTCCCATACCTTTCCTTTTATGCAAGAACCGCAGCTATTTAGCTTTGTTTGTCCAATAATGAGCTGATTACATTCGAACCGTGGCATGAAAGATAGAAATGAATGTCATACCAAGCAAAGCAAACAAAGAGAGCTGGGATATATTAGATTTCAAAATATGGTGAGGGCGTAGTTCAGATTCTAGATAATGTCAAACCTAAAAGGAATGTGTATCTAACTGCATCTGCACCCACAAACCATTCCAGGTCCAACCACAAATTGTCACTATCTCTACAGCTGAACATGACCTTTAAAGGCCTTTGGCCTTGCCTCTTCTTGTTAATCTACACTCAACATTTCTGTTCCCACCAGGAAATATGCAAGCAAAGATGCTTTGTTCCCCTGTGGTTTAGCACAATTGTATACTCAGAATAATATGGATTCACTCAAATCCAAATTGATAAATTTCAAAATAAATCGAATAAAGAATTCCATACACAACAAAAAGTAATGGATCATTTATACATCTTTCTGCAGTTGAGTGTGTTACCTACTTGGTTAGCATACTCATTATTGATCAAACTCGCCTTTTCCTTTCAGCTTCCTTATGTTTGAGGCATGAAGTTTGCTGCTCAATGCAAATTAATATGCTTTGATCATGTTCCTGGATTATGATAACTTGAAATAAGCAAGGAAGCAAACTATGTCAAGAGTATAGAGATCAATTATACACAACACATAGAGAAATAAGTTGAACATCCCCCTGGATTATACATAACTTGAAATAAGTTTGTTTGGGTAGCCAACAATTTAGACATCACAGAAATTAAAAAAAAAAAAAAAAAACCAACAGTCAATGAACAGTACTAGAAACTTCCTTCCATTCTCATACAAACAAAATTAAGAAACAGAAACAGGCAGATTGTCAAAAACTATAACATAACAATTTCATTTCTTTGTCAGCATTGAAATCAAACCACATTAATTTTGGGCAACTATAAGGTAACTCCCAGTTCCCCTTTCAACAATGATAAGTAGCAACCAAATTTTTATTCTAATCCTCCGATTGCTCTTTCCTACACCATCTACTGTTAGAACTAGAATTATATAGACAGTATGATAATTTTTCTGGACAAAACTCCAATTAGCCTTATCTTTGCAATTTCCACCATCAAACAGCATCCTTGAAACCAACATAGACATCATCCTCTTCCAAAAATAATTCCAAATCGCACTCAGAATCAAAGGACTCCTTAAAACTTACATTTCCATTTTCACTTTCTTGACAAGTTTCTTCAGCCCCTGGCATCATAAGATTTCCACCTGACTCGAGATTCATATTTTTCTTCCCTCTCCCCATTAGCTTCTTGGTGTTCCTTGCCACTGAATTCACTTTCCTCATCACCTTTTCACCATCATTTTTTACTTCAGTTCCCTCATTCCCCTCCATCACAGACTTTGCTTCTTCAACAACTCTGACATTTCCATGGACCCCACTCTTCACCACATACCTTTCTAAGCCCAAACCACCATTTTCCCCATTTGTGTCTTCTCCTTGCTCTTTATTGCTAAGATCATCATCACTATCATCAGAAATTACCACCAAGTTTTCATAACTAGATCTAAATCCCTCATTTTTTTCTTTCTTTTCATCCAAGAAAGAATCATGACCACCAGTCAAACCACTTTTCCCTTTCTTGTCACCCAAGAAACACTCTAAATTGTACTTCAACGGGAAATACCCAATTCCACAATAATATTGTTCCTTCCCTTCCACCACCATACCCGCCGGAGGCGCAGCCACAGCCACAGCCTGAAAGGCCCTCCTACAGTTTTGACACCTTAAACAACACTCCTCGTAAAGGCCTTCATATTCATACAAGTAATAACAGTACGGACAGACAGTCCAGAAAGTCCCATTTGCGTCCTCTGGTGGTTTGTCGCCATTTTCGTTTTGGGTTTTCTTTTCTTTCAATTTTTTATGCATCTTGGAAGAAAAGGAGTTGCCTTTAAGGGTCTAAAAGGCGGGACGGGTTCGGGAAACAGGTCGAGTTACTAGCAGAGAATAGAGCACCAGTCGAGGAGATTGTTTGAGAAAGCTTTTAAATTTCAATATTCAGGCGAGGTTAGAAGAGAGTCCGAGAAGGGTCAGCCGTTTAGGGTATTAAAGAAGTTACGTTTCCTGTGAGCTTTCTTTGTGTCAGGGCTGGTATAGAAGAGGTTAAAAGGTACCTCATTCATATATCAAGTATTGACTGAGATTTTAAAATTCAAATTTTTATTTTTACACGAATTGAATATCAAATAACAAAAGATTGTTGTTTTGGCATTAACATTTTTGCTCTTGCAATATGCAAACCTTATTTTAGCTCTTCAAATTCTTGATTGATTGGATTAATGGAAGTAAATTTCATACTATTTACTAGCATTATGTAATATATGCAACTAACATTGTTAGAATCAAAAACTTCATACCATATTGTTGTAGTATAACTAAGATGATAAAATACGCAGAGCTGTAGAATAAATAAATAAATACGATAGAGTTTGATCTTAACAAAACTAAACCATACTAAAACTCCAAGAATACAGCTTCTCCAAAATTCATATGAATCCACCAAGAGAAAGAGAGAGAAAATTTTGAATTTTTATTTATTTCAAAAACTGCATTGCAATAGATAAGAATAGCAAATAAAAATCCTACTAAGTAAGATAGTAAATGCAAACCCTACTAATTAAGAAAATATATGACCTTTCAAATAAATAAAATTTAATTTAAAATTTTCAAAATAGTAGTAAGTTATATATAATAAATTCCTAATTAAAATTAATTGAAAATGAAAATATGTAGAGGTCAACTTTAATGTAAAATTGGAATTATATAAATTCCCAATGGATGCTTTCTGACTTTATTTTGAAAATATTTAGAATATCTCTTACTTTGTTTTGGGCACTTGATGCGTCCCACATCGCCCGCGGAGTGTCTCCTGAACTAGTGTATAAAGCTGGATTTAGTCATCCTTTTATGAATTAATTTTTCGGGTGAAGTTAGGAGTCCAGTCCTTTATCAGCATTTGACTTTTGTTTTTAAGAATATTGTAGAATGACGAAAGAAATTCACGTGATGTTATTACATCTTTTAAATTTATGTTGGCTATGTGAATACTTTGAAGCTTCATGATCTATGTACAATGCAAATTCTTTTCTCATAAGTAAATAAAGTACGTACAATTGCATAGAATTCTTTATCTCTGAGTATTTGCTTCTAGATTCATTGAGTTTATCACGAAAGAAAGCAATTGAACGACTTTCTTGACTAAGCACAGCTTCAATTAGGAGTGAGTTTGAATTAGCTTAGTCTCGGTATATTCGAATATTTTTTTATAGTATTTTGAATCCGAAATCAAATGGTGTAGTAACCGATCCAAACCAAATTTAATCAATTTGATTTAATTATTTCAAATCAAATTAACTATTTTGAACTTAAAAATAAATTCGGTTAGTAATATAAAATAATCGAATTAAAACTGAAAATCAAACGGTTTTATATAGCCAAGCAGATTGATAAGCGAAATTCTAAAATAAATATCTAAATCCGACCAAAAAGGGTCAATCTAGTTCAATTTTCAATAAAGAAATCGAGAATTACCCAGCCCTGGCTCCAATACCAATACTTGACGCGTCGTATTCAACTTCAAATACCATCTGCCTCAATATCTAAAAACTCTTTTAAGCACTTGAAGTCCACTCAAAATTTCTCTTTCTTTAATAATCAGAGGAGTAACAGAGCTGAAGTTGTTTATAAATTGACAGTAGAAAGATGTCAAACCATGAAAATTTTGAATATCATTCATTGAATGAGGTGCAGGCCAACTAGTGATAGCTTCAACTTTACTAGTGTCTATGTTAAAGTTGTACAATACGGTAGAATCTGATCTTAGCGAGAGTAAAACCTCATTACAGATGCAACGATAGAAGTACACGACTAAATTACCACTTTTAAGGATCCGATTCACTCAAAATCCCTAAGAATCCGAGACACAAATATAGTGAAAATTCTTAACTTCAAAAACTGCATTATAAGAGGTGGTGTTAGCCCTATTTATAGGCTATAACCTAAGTAATTAACTAGGAAATAAAAGATCATACTTACTAATTAAGAAAATATATGAGTTTCCAAATAAATAAACTTTCTAATTAATAGAATATCTAAGCTCTCTGTAATTTTAAAATTTACAAAATAGAAAGTTACATAAAATAAATTCCTTTAAAGTTAATTGAGAATGAAAATACTTTGATTTAAAATTGAAAGTATATAACTTCTTAATCGATGTCACCCTTTTCAATTTTTTTCCTTGGTTGAATAAGAATTAATGGAATCACCCTTTCAATTTTTTCTTTAGTTGGATTAATGGAAGTAAATTGCATACCCTGCAAATTCAGGAGTTATACATACAAACATTTTAAGTTTATATTCCTAGTATTTCATAATTTTGTATATATTTGATGTTTAAGTTAGCTAATCAAATTATATTTTTCAAAAATTTTAAGGAAACGATAAATTGGTTTGAATTATATTTCTCATCTTATAATAAAACGTACTTTTAAATGTTAAATAAATTTCAGTTAAATCCAACAAATTTTTTTCCCGTTGAGAAAAACATTCCATTCTAATAGTGTAAAATAGTATCATTTTCAGAAAATAGGCTTCTTGTTTGGAAGTTTCATCATTGATGCTTAAGTCATTGGATGTCAATTTTTGGAACTGGAAAAGTGTTTACTACATAAAATTTTGCCTTTTTCTCCTACAAAGCATTATTCAGAAACACGGACGTATTAGACCCAATACTAATACATTGGAAATAATTCTATAAGAAATCATACTTGAATTGAACTCCGATCACAAAACCACATAATATCAAGTGCTCAATGTAAAAAATTGGACTTGTAAATTATTCCAGACCAATTAACCACATGAAGTTACTGTGTCTCGGCTATTGCAATACAACAATTTCTTGTACAGTTCATTACAAGTGTCCATCGTATTGTATATCACATATTTTTCTGAAGAATCAAAGAATTGAAGGGGAGAGATAATCGGCGGAGAAACGGGAAAAAAAAAATGGACTGTGATGGTTTTAAAAAAGAACTGTAACTGGAGTTTCTTGGCATGCAAAGCTCTATCTAGTGCCATTAGATTCAAACCTGATTCTTTCTCCTCCAGGCTAGGACCAAATATATGTAAACCTCTGTTGCAGCCACCACAACGACACCGATATGAATGCAAACAGTTGTCATGCACACGTACAAGTACCTGAAGTAACAAAACAACCATTAGTTACCGCAAAAGGTGTTGTCTCTTGGCATAGATGGCACCATAGCAATTTCTTGAGTCACGTGAACATGAACATGAACTTGAGATAAATTCGCCAACCTCTTCTTTAATACAGATCAACTTGAAATATAGAATTTGTTATAAAAGATAGAATTTGGTTTAGTTATATTGAGATTTCATAATATTGAATTCGGGTAACATGAAATTCCAAAGATATTGTATAAAATTTTGTACAATTCAGTTATACCAAACAGGGCATAATGTATAAACAAACAATACCCTGTTTAGTAATCTGTAATCCCACATAATCTACCCAGCATTAAATAACAGCAAGTTTGGTGTGACTTACTTTGGGGAGAAAACACTCCAAACAAACAAATGGTTCCTCATTAACAGCAATATAATGGTGTATGCAGTCAACAGAATGGAATTCAAGGCTAGAGGAACTAGGCAAGGAAAGCCAAGCATCATTTTCAGAAAATGCCCTGAATCTACAATTTGGGTAGTTGCTAAGTAGCTTGTATCCTTCACAGAAATGTATATCACCATGCTAAGAATAACTAGCATGGGGGATGCATAGGTGATGATGAACATCAAAATGCCAGAAAGTAATGTTGAGTGAGTTGAGAGGCCCTGGCATTGAACATAAAACAACATTGAAAATTAGATAAGCATGGCAGCCTAAGTCTAAATATATTATGGATAGAACTGGAAGTTGAAAACAGAAATAATGACTGCAGTGGAAAGTTAAGATTATATACTATAAAAGCTCCAGCAACATCAATAGTGGCTAAGGTATTGCTGTTCCCAAGAGCAAAATGGCCTGCCATTCCCATATAGTATAAGGAAGCGACCTGAAGAGAGAGAGAGGACAGGTGCCAAACATTAGTACTTGAAACACAGTCAGCCTTTCTATAAACAAATTTGCAACACTTGTCAGAACATAAATCAATGTCCACTTATTTTATTGATACCAACATAATTAAGTACAGAAGATACAACAAGGTTCACTGAGTGTCAGTCACATTCTATAGAGAACACAAATTTTATTAACTTCAGCAAGAACAAAATTTGGTTAGAAACATTTCATACCAGCTTAAGATATCAAAGATATACATGATCACATAGTTTCACATATTTTATTCACTAATGTTATAGTTGCCAACTTCAGCCTGTTCTTGATACATCTGGCTAAATAATGCAAGATTCTTGAGTTGTAATCAATGAGACTTCAAGCTAACATATCTAGTTGTTAATCCTAAAACTATAGGATATAGGAACTAACCTCAAGCCATTCCTTATTTCGTGGCCTGCCGTAGGAATAATACAGCATGCTAGTCAAGACTTGCATGAGAAGTAAAAAGATGGGCATTGAATTGATTGGCTGTTGCAGCAACAGTTGCAGAAAACACCAACTTAATACATATGCCAAGCCGATTAAATATGAAAAATCCCTAAATTCCAGCAATAGAGAATTGTGTTGAATGTCAATGGATACTAAACTTGATGAGGTGGTTTTGAGTCTAACATATGTACCAGGTACCCCAATGGGCATAAGCCATGGCAAGGCTACAACAGTGCCAATTGCAGTGAAACCCAGAATTGCATAGATTACCTGTGCCAATATAGTAGCTCCATAACTGGATGACACAAATGCATTGTCTTTGTACTCCATAATATGCCATAAAATGAGAAGTCCAGATATCAAAAAGCAAAATCCAACCAGTTGAATAATTTTTCTTTCACATCGAGACAAAAATAAAGCAAATAAGCCCAAACTGATCATGAGGAGACCTGAGGCTAGTTGAATTAATCTTATACTGTGACTCCCAGCCTGTTCAAGCCACTTTGAAATGTCTGGAAGATAAGTCCAGTTTACACCACCCTGATGCCAACCTCTCAAGATTCGTCCAGAAATAAGAAGCAAAAATATGAAATACACTTGAAAATTACTCCTTTGATTCTGTCCCTTCAAACATAATGCACTTCCACTTCTCCCAGGAACAGACTGTACTGCTTTCCGAAGTAATAACAAATATGATGTAGATATAACAAAATTCCAAATATAATGCTCTTCCTCTACCATAGAACTTGAGCCCATACTCATGACAAGGATCAAAACAACACCCAAAATAAAGACCTCATCTAAACACCATCTATGCTTGACATTACTTGTGTTAGAGAGGGTTTGCTTCTCCTCAAAGTAAACTTCATTGCTCAAGCAAATTACCAGGCCTAACAATATCAGACATGATAAGGCCACTGCCATAACCCCAAAAGCAAGTAAAGAAACAGGTTTCTGCAAACAACGAAGGAATAGAACATAGTAATCATCTTATTTACAGTATATATAGCAATAAAGAAACAGGTTTCTGCAAACAAACGAAGGAATAGAGACATAGTAATCATCTTTTTACAGTATATATAATATAATATATATATATATATATACTAATGAACATTTGTTAATTTTCCTGGAGAGAATGACTTTTTTAGCGCAATTTCAACTTTTGAAAAAGAAATATACAGTACATCAGTTACTCGTCGTGGATAACCATCGTCAAGCTTTGCAGTTTTCAAGGGATATATATATAATGAACATTTGTTAATTTTCCTGAGAGATGACTTTTTTAGCCAATTCAACTTTTGAAAAAGAATATACATACATCAGTTACTCTGCGTGATAACCACTCACTTGCAGTTTTCAGGAACTCGTAATATCCTGCAACAGTGCTGCTATAATCATCCTTGCTTTCAGACCTATTTAGATCAATTAAGGTAAAACCAATATCACTGCTTCAATTACAAAGACAGCAATTTAAATATATTCAATATATATTTTTTCCATGGTAATCATCAATCAGATACTCATGTAAGAAACCAACCCTGATTCTTTTTTAGACTTCCAGGAATCATGAAGATTTGCAGCATTCATAAATAAGCAACATAGTATCTTCTCCATATTGTCACTACGTTCGCCACTTCCAAGCCCCAGACCAGCAATGAAACCATTGCAGGGGAAATTTCCACATGATAAACCAGGTAATTGTGCTTCCACTAATCTGAGCAACTGCCAGGAATTCAACTCCAGTGCTCTCAGCTGTTGATCATCTGAATTCGCAAGCAGCACAGATGGAAAATATAAAATTTCAAACGAATACCGGCATCAAACTGGATCCAGATACTGATTTTAAATGTCGGAAGAAATGCATGACTTAGCACAATGAAACCAATAAAAATCTGTTTGCCCATTGTAATTTATGAGTTTGAATGGATATTCATCTTTCTATGGAAGCAAATAAACAACAAGAGTTTGTACCATTTAGGTTAAATAACAACTGCCTATGAGCCAACACAGATGCATGACCAGATCTGGAAAAGTCTGTAAATGCACAAGCATTCCAAGAAACTAGTCTACCTCAAATGGATAAATGGCTTTACCAAGATAGATATACATATTAATCCTCTTCTGCTAGGATATGATTTAAAATGCAGCCAATGTGAACGTAAATTAATTCCCATGTAAATGCATGTCCTACAGAAATACCAAAGGAAATCGCATGTAGTACAAAATACACTAGACCAAACTGTAAGACTAGGGAGGGATCGACAAATATTTTGTTAAAAAAGAAATTTTATGAGGGATGAAAGAGAGGATATGAAAAGCTATCCTCCAAGGCCACATGGATAAGAACAACTAAACAAGGAACATGTTCTTTTTTTTTTTTTGAAAAAAAAAAATTGACACCCCAAAGCTTGAATAAAATTTAAAGATAATCCTACAAAAGCCTCTAAAAAGCTGAAAAAACCAACCGTATCTTAAAGAGACAAAGGGGCACAAGAACACGGTTTCTATATATTTCTCTCCATCTCAATAAAAAAAATTAAAAAAATAAATAAAAAAAAAAAAAGAAAAAGCACAACTACTTTGGCATCTTTTCTACCACCAAACCCTGTCCATTAAGTCCAGGTGCTTTTAAGGAAATATGCATTGTCCCATTTATTTTGACTAATCTCATCACAGGTCTCGACAGAGATGTATCTTCCTATTTACTTTCTTTGGAATAGATCTATTGTTATTTCCTCTAAATAAGTTACGAACAAGATTTTTCCTCTAATTTTTTGTTTTCTTTTATTTTATAATATTTTCTATCATTAATACAAGATAGACATGAACAAAGACACTTAAATAGACTGACCTGTCAAAGAATCAAAAGTTCCAGAAATCAGGACACCCACATTGTTTTTAGGAATTGGCACACCATATAGTAGAGCTAAAGTTGGAGCAATGTCAACCTGGCCCATTTGAAATTATTTGCTACAATTAAATTTTGTCTCACACTGCAATAGAAAAAATAAATGAATTTGAAAATAGGGGGAGCTTAAGTAGGAGGTAACCAAAGTTCAAACACAATGGAAGAAATTTAAAAACCAAGTTTCTGTTTTTGGCAATTTTAAAGAATTTTCATAATCTTCAAAAGATGGAATCTGAATATCACATCAAGAAAATCACCAAGATTCCTTCATTTCCAGTTTGCAGCAAGGTAAGTTCTGGGCTTTATTTATCACTTGCAAGTTACAAAAGCTTCTAATCAGGTAAAAAAATAGACTTTGACAACTTTTGGAATTGAAGAAAGTCAAGACATGAAGAGAGAAATTTAGGTTCAGGAGCATCTAACAGAAGCTCATAGGACAGAGCTATGCTAAGCAAGCTCCAAATAAACCTCATACTACCTTATTTTTTAATTAGACAATTGTAGTTGTTTCCAAGCATTTGGACATCCCAAAATGGAAATCTAGACAAACAATTTGGAAGAAGCACAAATTATTTTGTTCTTTAAAATCAACAAGTCGTATAAACAATCAATTTTCACCCACAAATAAAAAATTTCTGTCACGGACAAAAGCAAAAATTTAAGCAACTTTGGTGGGGAATAAAATAGAAAGACCAAGGAAAAAGTCAAGGTTCTCCACTTATAACATGGAAAACTAAGGATCATATTATTGTATTTTGTTACATAATACATTTGATCTCAAATTTCAAAAGGATATTATGTCTTGTGGGATGTAGATGCAATGAACTAGGCAGTTTCTGGAACAGTAAGTGAATGTGAATAGCAAAAAGATTGCATAATTTATTTACCTGGTGAACAGAATTATGGGTAGATGGTGCATAATGAAAGACGTGATTTTTCAGGCCAATAAAAAGAGCTAAAGAGTCAGTTTCTTCATAAGAAGAACCCCCGTGATTACCACTCTCAGTCATGCCATGATCACTCACTACCACCTACATAAGAATGAAAGAAAGTGATACAGGAGAATATCACATGGATCAATACAGATGAAAACATTGCATCAAAGATTAAGCAACAATGAAAGTGCCACACTCTAACCAGACATAGAAAATCTCAATCTATGTGCATGTTAGACACGTGTATCATGGCAGTGATGAGTGTAAAAATATAAATAGCGATTTGTGTACAGCTAGGAATTGTGTTAACAGTTAACTGATTGCTGTACCCTATGAAGATCTATGAACCATCATTTGTTAGACTTGAGCAGTGTTTGCATGTTTTTTCACATGATAGACATCCTTTGTTTTAACTGACGAAAGTAAGAGTTAACTGACAAGAGTAAAAATGATGTAGCACCAACCAGAAGCGTCCATCCTTGATTATCATCCGGAGTCTGAATAGTGCTTGAATGAATTGCCTTCACCACTTCATCCATCTCCATAAGCTTTGGACCCATCAAAAAACTAAAATAGTTGACAAAACATTCAACTGAAGCTCAAGAAAGAAGAACCAAAACCCATATTAATATTGATGAAAAATGGACTAGAAATACCTGCTGCGCCCACCAATATGTCCAACATGATCCAAGCCCAGATAATGAAGAATCTAAAAATAAAAGCTAGAGTGAAATCAAATGACATAAGAAGAGTAAAGCACTCTGCTGAGGAACTGAATAAATTATAATCAATCATATAATAGATATCAATCCAAATGAAAAATGCTCCTCAATTTTTGTTATTATCAGTATTCCTCATCCCATTTTAAAGAGGAGCTACAACAGAAGATTAAGGTTTCATTTTCAAGTTTCATTTTCAAGCATAGGAGAATAAGACAAGAAAGGAGTAAAATTAAAGAGTACAGAAGAACATTGGAGGTAGACTAAAATACCAAGAATGAACTAAAAGTACTGGCAGAGAATTTCACTTGATCAATATTGTGAACAGAAACATGGCTCTTCCCATTACATTCTGTGATTTTAAAATGTAATCAATCTTAACTTTCTAACAATTCCTATAGAACAGTTGCCTCGTATCCAAGTCTCAATTTTAAGCATAAGGAAGAGTCAGGATAGGATGGCCTTAACATGAGTGGTTCCCAAATTGACAGGTTACTAACTTACTATGAGCTCAGTTATGCACTCTTCAATTGCAAAGGCAATAGGATATGCTAAATCTCATAAAAACTTCAAAAAACAAAGGGAGACAGATATATACAGAACTCTTCAGGTTATTCACATGAAGCACATAATATGTAGCTCATACATAGAACTCCTTTAATTCAGCATAAAAACATAACAAGTTGCAAAAACTTCCACACTCTGTTGTCCTCCCCAGCCCCCAAAAAATCCTTCTAAACAGATAAAGGGAGGAAAGAAAAAAAAAATTAGAAATAATAGACCAGAAAAGATAAAGCAATGGTAGAGATTTAAAAGGAAATATCGCTGAAGTAGTAACACTTCAATACTAATTTTTTAAAGGGGCCACCATTTCAAATGCCAGATTCAAACTAAATTATTGGATATAAACGAACGAAAAACACCAACCAGAAGATTCCAGTCATCCCTGCCAAGCTCGTTCCCCAGATGCCGAGAAACATTTTGATCAACTTGTACTGTGTCCTTAACCTGTAGCGAGCACAAATATAAGTAGCAGTGATAATTACATTATAAATAGAGTCAGAAATAAGAAAGAAGCTCACTAATACACCAAAATAAATGACAAATAACATTCTACTTAATGACTTAATATTTCCATCTGCCCCAGCCAGAAATCATGAGCTAAGGCAGAAGAGATTCAAGAAATCATGGAACCAAAAAGACCTTTGTTAGCTTTGAAGAAGCAGCAGCACAGTCTTGATTAAGACGCAGCTATGTTTTCAAGTTATATGGCTGATGAAATATATGTAAAGACATAAAAGTTTAACCAAACGCCATCAACTTGAAAAAGATGCACCTATGATCTCTCGGGGAACTCAAGAGATAAAGCTGCAATGTAAACTAGCACAAAAGAAATGTAACAAAAGCTAGAGATGTAAATAAACCTACAAAAAAACTGCTAACTCCATCATGTCTCACAAACAATCCTGGAAACAACTTGAGCCATGTTTCATCACCAAGCATCACCATTTTCCAACCAATTCTAGAAAACTGACCTGCAACATAAAAAATTTGGAACTGGTAATTAGCAACCTAAAAAAAAAAAAAAAAAATCACAACAATCCTGGAAACAACTTGAAAGCCATTGGTTTCATCACCAAGCATCACCAATTTTTCCAACGCATTCTGAGAAAAACTGACCTGCACATAAAAAAATTTGGAAAACGGTAATGTAGCAACCTAAAAAAAAAAAAAATCCTAAAAAAAAAAAAAAAAAATACACAAGAAGCTCAACTCAATACTAATGACACAATTCACTTCAACTAACCAAGAAGATTGTCATCTAATAAAGCCTGCGTATTAAAATTAAAAGCCACGTCCAAGAATCCCCCAATTGCCCCAGAAACCATAGCCTGTAATCATATGCTAATAAAGGTAAGTAAACTACCATACCATTTCAGCTGGACCAAAGCAATGCCATAACAAAAATACACCTTTAAACGAGGCATAGTAACAGTTGGAGGTGCAGCCTTTGCATGGTAGCCAATAGCCATTCCACTAGATAGCAATGACTGAGTATAAGGCATAGCTTCCATCAAATCTTTACGCGCAGGCTGGCCATCCTTGCCAAGCACAAATTCTGCTGGAAGACCATCAATAACCTAAACTAACATAAATTGAACACGCCAAACTGAAACTAACTCTATAAAATAACATCAATAGCATTAGCAACTAATAGAACATATCACATACCATTAAAATCAACCGGTTAAATAAAGGAGGGATTCCAGAGAGCTCCTACATATAATTATAACACACATTTAGGAAATCCAGATTACCAATATTATCAGAGAGAAGGAGAAGGAAGAAAACGATACCTGATATAGTGATTTTAGTTGATGAGGATGTAAAATCGCATCTGTTTGACTTTGATTGTCAAAGGAATTGCAATCCGGTGCGTAGAAGCTCTCCCCGCCACTGCCATTAACAAATTGCAGTTATCAAAAAATACATAGAAGGTAAAAAAAAAAAAAAAAAAAAAAAAAATTAAAAATTGTTTCTCGGAAAACCAAAAAAAAAAAAAAAAAAAAAAAAAAATTGTTTCTCGGAAACCAAACGGCGGAGGATGTAAAATGTGGGGGGAAAAGATGGAACCTAACGCCGGAAAGAGCGGGTTTGACGGGGAAGAAGCCATAGACGAAGAGGGAGAGACCGATCATTTGAATGATAACCGCAGCAACTGTTAATAGTGTTAATTTACTACACGATGTCGTTTTGGTCATCTTCTTCTTCGTCAAAGTCTCATAGAGATCTCAGCTGTTTGTAAATGAACCAGCAGAATATAGCTACTTAGCTAGTTAGCTACCCGAGAGCAGAGACGACGTTAATCGAGTATAAGCAATTAGTATACAAGTTCATATAAAAGAAAGGCTTTAGCTGATAGCCATTAAATTTTAAAATTTTTCGATAAAATCAGTATCTATGTCTATCTCTGAATATGTATTACATATTCATCCGTATTGATCTCGTTATATTTGCTTATTATTATTATTTTTTATATCTTACAATGTTTGATATAATGTTTATGATTACTATTTTTCGTAATAATTTTCATGATGATTTATTGAATAAAAATTTTTTATTAATATCTTAACGAGTTAAAAGGTGAAAAAATGATAAAATATTTTTATTGATTAAATTTTTAATGTGTATTTTGTGAAATTGTGCAAACAAAATGAGACGGAGGGAGTATCATATATTATACTACTTATATTTATTATTGTATTGTTGTATATTGATATAAAGCTGAAGCAAAAATAAAGATTCTCTTTATTTAGTATTTTGTTTAAGGAATTTTTGAATTTTTTTTTTTCTGTGTTTAAATTGGTGACTTATTGAAGATTTAATTATTTAGATGAAAAGACCGAAGCAAATGGCATTTCTCACCCTAAAATGATTAATCAATTTATAATATATTAGTCTAATAACTATATATTCATTGAAAGTTCCAATAAAAATTTAGACTCTTCTACTCTGGTTTCGATAGGTAAGAACTTAACAATGGCAGCTCTATAGGGCTTTATATATTGTTTTAGCAGTTGCAATTTCACACCAACTCACCTTCTCGTGAAATTGGAACTACTTGAAATCTTCAAGGTAAAATAATATATTAAGCCAAGATGTATCTGTAAGTGGAGTGACAAAGATTTCAGTGTTTCTGTAAGGAAAAATTTTTTAACTACAGAAAAAAATAAAATCCTTCGGGCAGAAAACTGCAACTAGAAAGTTGCGAATAAATTAATAAATTACAAAAAATTGCCCATTACATCAACAATAGTTTCAGAGCATACGTGTGATACAATACATTGTCTTTGCACTACAAGTTTCAAAATACAAAGATTTTCTCCGCCCATGATGAACTATAACAATTTTTTTTGACATACAAGGCAACCCTTCTTCCTCCAAGTTCCTTCTCCCACCAATAATAGAAAATTTAAAATTATTAACACATCCAAGCACAATACATCACAGTAGAGGTCATACACATTGCATTCATGATCTCACGTCTTTCAGTACTCCTCCCTTCTCAAGCTCACCAACTAGATCCCTCAATGAAGGAACTTTCATAGCTAAAGTTCTATACAGTCTAGAATATCGAGCTCGGGTGCCATCTGCTGTTCTTGCTAAGGCTAGCAAGCTTAGAGCCTCAGGAAGTTGAGAGAATACTTGTTTCATTTCCTCCAAGCTCAAGTTTTCTAATACGGGTGGTCTTGGAACAACTCTTACTATTTCACCGCCTTTAGGTTCCTGAACTCGAGCATCTGCTTTAATGACCAATTCTGAATTTGAATTTGCTCCACACTTTATGATAAATGGTGTTGTGGATCCTGTGTTGAATTGCAAAACATTCCACTGTGCCACATCGGTTTCTGTACCAGACCCCAAATCTGCAGATGTTTTCCTACCATGTACTGAATCATGAAGGTGATCATCTTCTTCAGGAATTGACTGCAATGGAAAATAGATAGAAAAGTCAGGGGAGGGGAGTAAACTGACTCGCAATCAAGTGCAAACTTGGACAAAATACCTTTTCTTGAACTTGGAAGATAAAGTATTAATAAATACCCAACAAGATTTACAAATATAACAGAGAAATAATTAGGTGAACTTAGTCCATCAGTCAAGCAGATTAAGCCTATCAAAATGGGACGGCATCACTAGATAATGATCAAAAATCAAACTCCGACATTCACTTGAATGGTAAATTCACAAATTCACCATTAATGAATGTTAAAATTGTGCCATCATTTAATAATGTTTTTCATATAGGTTTAGCCTGCAACTACGAGATAGAATAAATCTAGGCACATTTTTTCAGTATAAGATAATTTTGTTTTGTTCATGTAAATGACTTACAAGAAAAAAGCAAAATCACCTTGTAGAAGAGCAAGTTCACTCTCATTCCTTTACTTGAAACTTATAAACTTAATGTTCAGAACAAGGTTATCAAAATTGCTTTTTTAACTAGAACCAGTGGACAATTGACTAAATCGAATCATAGAGTTGGAAGACTTTAGAAATCACCTAAAACAGCACAGCTCCAGATACATATTGCATAACACACATTACACTGGTGATTAAAAATACAATTCGTATCAGTTCTAGTAATATTTGCTCACTCAAATAAACCAAGTTCACCACATCAAACATAACAAAAATATAATATAACAACAATAAATAGATAGAATAAAATTAAAAACTAGAAATATTCATTAGAAAGAAGACAAAATTGGAATCCCTAATTCCATTTAAACACAATGTTTTTGGCTGATGCCTTACGGGCTTCATATGGGTTTTTTAATTGCAGAAATTATCCATTTGATAAAAAAACATTCCATTTAGTCAATTTTAGTGCCAATATAAAATATATCCGATTTTAACAATGATTTAAAAATTACGATTTTGTATACGAATGTCACATTTCTCCATGTTGAAATCGTAACTCGTATGATCTCATGAGGTGAATAGCGATTTGATAACATTGATTCAGAAAGAAATGTCACTGAAAAATAAAACTTGGTTCATTTCCATTCGTCTTTTTCTTTACTAATTGCTTAGAGGACACAGCAGGAATCTACATAATAAAACCATATTGTAATTGAATTAAATATATTTTATTTCAAAGAATTTGCATTTTGAAACAAAGTATAGACTTGAGTTGAGATGATTAGGATATATAAATGAAGTTGGGACGCTTCCCTCAAAATGTAAACTTTCTGGCCCATTATCTCAACTAACCCAATCAATTTGTGCAACACAAAGTTTCTAAGTTAGTTGAACCCTCGATCAAATGTGAATGTTTCAATAAATCATATGCATATTTCTTACATTCCAGTCTCAGCCCAAGAAACAGGGACCATGCATAGAAACTGGCAGCTATAAAGAGAGTAACAATAATATATACAGGACCATGCATAGAAACTGGCAGCTATAAAGAGGAGTAACATAATTATTATATATATAATTATATATATATATATATATATATATAGTATATTTACCTTCACCATTATGGCAGACATCTGCTTAGTGTCTCTGAGCACAATATATACCTCAACCATATGGCGAGCATCTGCTAGTTGTCTCTGAGCACAAGGGTGATCAATTTCAAGAAGGGAAGGCATCCGCTCCCCAAGTTCATCTAGAGAACTGAGCATTGATTTCTTCTTACTTTTACTCAAGACATCTACTGAGGATTGTCTCAATATATCCTGTTCAAAAAGTAATTTGGCCATCGTCAGTCATTTACTCCACTTTCAACCCAATGACCATAAAAGACAGGATAGTTTCATAAAGATAGGAAACCTTCACTTGCTTCAGTATGCCATCCAGAGAAATTAAAGATGCTAATCGTGCATCCTCAGCAGCAGTAGAAGGATTATGAATAGGTGAACCTCCATCCTCCAACGTTAACATGGCTACATCGCCCCTCAATTGTTGCAAAATCTAATGAAAAATAAACAATATAAACCAAGAAAGATAGTACCTTTAAGAACCAAGGAAAAAAAAGTTATGGAAGGACAACACCAAGGCATGCTAATTAGGTGAAGAGCTCTACCTTTCTTCTTTTATGATCAACAGACTCAAGAGCTGAACGCAGTTTTGCTACTTGTGTAGCATCTTCTGCCTCCTCAGTAGCTAAGGTGCCAGCAATATCCTAAGAACAAACTGAAACATCAGAAAATCCCAAATAATGCCCAGTCATGAGCACATCCTCCAAAAAGCAAAACTAAAGAGTATTCAGAAAATAAAGAAGAAAAATAAATAAATTTCAGATGCCAAAATTTTTTTTTTTTTTTAAGTTACAATCATAAAGAAACCACATCACCAGGTATAGCAGATGACATTTGGCATCAATATATAACTGCTGACAATTAAAGAATAGGCAGTTTGATGTAAGGTACCATTGGAACATATAATAAACTCGGACCAATCATACAGTGATGCAACAAAGTGAACCTTCAGTATTTGGGACGATTAGCACAGGTTTTTAGTTTTTAAGATTCCATGAAGTAACGAACATTAGAGAGAGAGAAGACAATTGGCAGAAAGATCTAAAGTCTGAAGCAAACACAGAATCAAGGAGCTCCCAGCATTTTCTGTTTCATTGAGGGATTCCTAGCACAAAGGTCGAGATAATGAGGGATTCTGAGCTGGATGAATGAATGAATACTTTCTGAATATAGCCCTGAAAATGAAGATAACCATGAACAACAGTCGTAAATAAACTCTTGGATGCACGCCATCTTTGTTAGCTTTCCTTTCTCAAACTCTCAGTGTAAGTTTCAAACAATCAAATAATTACTAGAATGGAATCATTGCCAAAGAGAACTTTTAAATTAGTAAACTATGTAAGGCTATAATGTGTCCAAATTTGAATAATTAATTATTCAATTGAAGTATAAAATTTCTCTTACTCATCTCTCCCATCTTCTTAAAAAATTTCCAGTGGGTCCATTAAGTAAAAGCCCTTGAAATTTTTACCGTATTTGTTTTCTAGTGTTTTTCCCTCAAGTTCAGCGGCAAATGCAGCTAGCTCTTCCCTTAAATAGCAAAGCAAACATACTCAGACATGAGGGACAACAAGAGATTGCTAGAGGGGTGCAATCGAGCTGAGGTTAGCCAATATTGGTTATTTCAGGCTTGGCTCCCATTAATAAACTAGTCAAGCCAAGTATCGTCAGGCTCATGTAAACTTGCAAGTCGCAAGTCTGAATGAGCTTAATCAAGCTTAAATTTTTTGTCGACTGGGGTTATTGTTACTTCCTGTTCTATGAACCTCTATAATTGTACAGCTTCCTATTCTATTATTATACTTGTAGATAAATACTAACTATTGTAGAGTTTGATAGATGAGAAACCAAGGAAAATCATTTACATTAGCAATTAATTTTTATAAAGTATATTTATGAACAAAAGTTGTAAATAGGGGTGTAATTCGGATGGTATGGAATGATTGACCATCATTCCAATTTTGCTCCAAAATATTTTGGAATTTGAAATTGTATTTCATTCCATTCCAAATATTTTTTGGAATTTAAAATTTTATTCCATATTATTCCATTGAAATTCGGTTTGGAATTTGATAGTTCCAAATTTCTTAATCATAAATACAAATCTAATACATTGTGACATTTTTTAAAATGTAAATTTTTAAATTTAATAAAGAATAATCACCATATTTTTATACATACATGCTAAAAAGACATAATTAAAATTTTAAAATAATAAATTAATATCATATATAACTAAAAATCAAAATATTTAATCTTACATGTTTATAAATAGTAGGTATACTTCACTCTTAACATTTAATAATTCAGTTTATATAATTAATAATAATATTATTATAAAATCAACAAAAGATAATATTATTCATATTAGGATATACCAATATATGTAATCACCAAATCCATTAAAAAATGCTGCTTTTTATGATTAAAAAAAAAAATCCATCAAAAGTGCTAAATCCACAAAAAAATACTTCACCCATCCCAAAATGTTTAAAAAACACATTAATTATAGTGTCACATCATCCAAAATATCTATATTTTTCCAAAATTGTCCTCCTCTAAAACAAAAAAAAATTATTCCTAGAATTTAAAATCATTTATAATGAGGGGTATAAAAGAAAAATAAATATATTTTAAGTCAAGTGGACAAACATTTTGGGATATCCAAAAATAGAAACATGGACAAACATTATGGGACGGAGGGAGTATATATTATGAGTCTAAGCATACTAAAACATTTCAAACCAAGAAAGTGTATATAAGTATTCAAACACATATTATATATTATTACTAACTAGGGTCAAGGTTGAAATATTCTATTAAACTATGTAATTTTAGAATTAAATAGAAGTTTTCTTAAAGGTCAAGGTTTGAAAATCTATATAAAACTATGTATTTTAGAATTAAATAGAAGTTTTCTTAAAAAAATATGAAAAATTAAAGAGATATTTTATTTAAATCTTAAAATTAATATTTATTTTAAACAAATAATCACAAACTAAGAATAATAAGAATAAAATTATTAGTACGGATGATTGAAATATGGAATCTTATGTTGTTTCGCATTCCATGAATTCCATATACCAACATTTTAAAAAAGTACATTCCATTTTTAAATTCGCGTATTTTTTGTTTCCATTCCATATTCCATATACCAACATTTTAAAAAGTACATTCCATTTTAAATTCCGTATTTCAAAATTTCATTCCAAATTAATATTTGGTTTGGATTTTGGAATTTCAATTTGGATGGGAATGTTCCAATCCAAGTTACACCCCTAGTTTTAAATGAAATCATATATATATTACACTTTACACACACACACACATATAAACGAGTAGCTCACAAGCTTAGACAAGCCAAGCTTTGCAAAGCTCAGGCTCAAGCTCAGCTCATTCATTAAAAAAAAGCATGAAAACAGAAGCTTGAGCAAGCTTTTATTAAGCCAAGCTTCAAGCAGTTTACGAGCATCTTGGTTCATTTGCAGTCCTAATTGCCAGGTTCAATCCTTGGATAACATGTTCAGCCACATACAGCTATCTAATTTAATAATAAGTCTCAATCAATGAAAAGCACACCTTTAAATGTTGCAATTGGGAAGTGTAGACCCGCTTAGCATACTCAGACAGAAGTTGCCCAAGAGCATCTGTGTTGGGAGGCAGTGCAGCACCGAGTCCAGCCATCCAACCATCCATGATTGCAGTTGAAAGGAGTTCTAACTGCCCGCTGCTGCCCCCTGATGCATCATCTCCTGTAACAGAAAGAAACTCAAAATTTTCTGCAAGCCAGGACCTAATCTGACGCTGCAGTTCACCAGCTGGAGTATGAACAAAGAGAGCAGCAAGAGCCTTGTTTCCTGTCGCAAAACTTTTTGCCTCCTCTTGTATTTCCCTTAGTTTTCCACCAGTAACCTGTTGCCTCCATGTATCCTGTAGACATGATAAGAAGATTCTTAGGGCCCGTTTGCAACGAGTCTTGTAGAAGATTGTTTCCTATATACTACAGGAATTAAGAAAATATATGATCATCAAAAGCATCAGTACGTGGTTCTAAAACACCACTTGGTGGCAATGCAATAGCATGAGCAAAGTGAACACTTCAGAATTAAACTCTCATTATTCTTCCGAAACCAAATATTGAACCTTTTCTTTTGTTCCTTATCTGTTTGGTTGGATTAAACATAATTTTGCTAATGCACCCTGCATGCGAATACTTTCTGTCCATTGGAGGCAGCCAGGCTTATATGTTTACATTTTATCTAGCACTGAAGGAACAACAGGAAAAAAGAAAAACAAAAAGCCAATTTGACAGCAACTACCTGATCAATTCCTCGCATTCTCAGAACAACTGATGACAACTTAGACTTCTTTTCTGGCTTTATATTCACTTTAAATCCCTGGATTTGTTCTTCTGCATACCGCACAGGAGATCTTCCAGGACTGTTACCTCGGCTGGAACTTCTACTACGTCCAGTATTAGCCTTTTCTAAAAAGCACTCAACAGGAGAAACCTATAAATGTGGCAGGAAAAATGGCATGCACAGAGATGTCAGTGAAACTACAAGTGACTGCAGCTCTGCTCAAGAAAAGAACTGAATAAAAGCCCAGCATCTAATGCGTTTACCTTAATGGACTGCAGTTCTGGGGACCTAGCAAGTAGAGATCTTATATACAAAATTCTGACCCGGGAAACTAGCATGGTATCCATAACCCTTCTAGGCTCCATTTTTCGGATAAAAGAGAATACAGCATCTCTAATTTCAGCAAGTATTTCATGCTCTCTAGAAGCACCAGCTTTAATGACTGCTGCCAGAACCTGCAAAAATAGCTGTTACCATCAAGAAGGGTTCGAGGGTTGCAAAATGTACAAAGTCCCCAGTTTGCCAACACAAAACGTGAGGCTATTCAATGCAAGATTTTCATCCAGGGCAAATGAAAGATATAATAGCAAATGCATGGTTAAATAGCCACACCATATATGTAATTAACTCTAGATAGCTGGATAGACAAAAAGCATCAAGTTGACCCCGAACAACCAGTTCCACCCTGATACAGCATAATTTAAACCACCAGAAAAAGAAGAGAACAGTGGATGAGGAATTGATAAATAACAAAATTCCTACAGCCGTTTTCCAACAAACATTTTCCAAGAAAAACATAAACAAAGATGAAGAAACTTGAATGTGTAAGCTTTTTAGTGATACAGACACCACAATAAATCTAATCTCTGTCCTTATCCATATGGGAGTAAATCATTGGAAGGACCCCTTTTCATTCAGAGTTTAAAATGATAATATATTTCAAACTGAAATAAAATTTCATAGAACATACAAATCATAGTGAGACTGGAACTTGTCCAGACTCCAACTGAATAATAGAACAATCAAAGATCCATACCAACATCAAAAGCTTGTTTGCTCCATCTGAAATGGCAGCAAGGCTATCATATTGTTCAGGATCAAAGTCATTTAGAGCAGCTGTAAGATACTCTCCAGCTGGCGTCGATTTAACTTTCTCAGAACCTGATTTAACCAAAGCAACTGTGCCATCAATCTTATCTGGCACTTGTGGTGAAGGAACAACATCCATAGAACGTCCTTTATTGTTGTAATCATTCCTGATGCAAAAGAAGCACAATGAAAATGATGACTACAAACATATGAATAAATGACGAAAAAAAACAAACAAGCATAACTACTGTAAGTTGTGTAAAAATAACACCTTCCAATGTCCCGAGATTGGACATTTATTGTTCCTTTGGATAATGGACTTGACAGCTGAGGAAAAAAAATAACAAAGTCAGAAATATGGAGCCACTTGTTAGATTGACAACAGAAGAATTGGTACCAAAAGTAAACCAATACTATCCCACTAAATGGGGTAGCCCACAAGAGGAAGAAGCATTAGCAACAATATGGTTTGAAAGCACTACAGTTTGGAAGTATAAGAGCCACCTTCACAGTACACACTGATCCTAAAAATGCATTTGCAATGCATGCTTATCTGCCTACAAACATAATAAACTTAATTTTGAAAACCAGTAAGGTCACCAGAAGCAAAGAGAAAAAATAATAATCTTGTCTGCACATGCATGGATGCATACATACAAACATACAAAGAAACTGATAAAGGGTACCAAGAACAATGCTGTGAAATAGTTTTTACTAACATCAGGATGAAAAAAGTACCTGAGGAGATCCAGCTAAAGATGCTTTCTCTGTTAATCTATCAAACAATTTCTCATTTTCTTCATGCAATCTCTGTAAAAACACAGAGGAGTAAACTACATTAAGGGAGCAAGTTCATAGAGGTAGGATTTAGATAAATGGGACCTGATGAAAAAAAAATGCCATTTTTTTATTGAAGAGGCATAAGCTGCCAACCATTTTTCTTTTCCTTCTTTCACCATAGGGAAGCAAATGCAAGCATGCTTATGCATATCCATTGTCTAGAGTTTTCACTGACAAGCAGCTCAATGTTTGTGCAGTAATTTCCAATTTCCAAATATGTGTTTAAATGGGAAGCACACCTCAATTAGTGCATCACGTTTTTTGAGTTCCTCTTCAAGTTTCTTAGTAACAATTGAAGAATCTATACTGTCCCCTGTTGCCTTGGAAATTGATGAAATTCCAGGCCCAGGTTGTGAGCCAAATGTTGAGCTAGGGACACCAGAATTACGCACTTCACTGAGTTGTGACTCCATGCTTTTAATTTTGGCCTACATCAGAAAGTGAACGTTACGTCCTGATGCAAATGAAGAATAGAATTTGACTAGAAGAACGGTAAGTTGGAAACATAATTATAATTTTCTATTTTCAATCATAAATTAAACTGATCTCTATTGTCAATAAAAATTAGGAATAAAACACAAGCTGAACTATGTTCAAGGAGGAGAGAAGTGTCAAAGCAGTTCTACAGAAAGAATATTAAAGAACAAATTTCATCCGCAACCACAACTCTACCTTGCATATCAAATTAATAACGTATATTTGCATAAAATTAGCAAAATACAATGAACTAAACAATTAGTCCATGTAGGTGGACAAATAATTTCAGAATCAACCATGTTAAATGTAGCAACACATACTCAGAGATAAAGGAAAATTGATGCACCACCAACCTGTAATGTCTGAATTGTTGAATCTCGTTGCTGCATCTGCATTTTCTGCTCCTGCTCCATCTGTAACAGTTGAGCTACTTGATTTCTGAGCTGAGCATTTTGCTCCTTTTCTATCTTATGCTTGTCAGCAAGAATGATGTTCTCAGACTGCATCAATTATACAAGAGCAATGTAACAACTCGGCATCATGCTTACCTAAAGACTGACGCACAGCACAATTAATTGTAGAATGACGTTAAAGCTACCCGTCACCCCAACAACCCCCCCCCCCCCCTCGCTGCTCCATTCACTGGTAACAGTGAGGCTACTTGGATTTCTGAGCTGGAGGCAGTTTGCTTCTTCGTTTTCTACCCTCTTTTGGGTGCGGTCCAGCAGCATCGAATGTGTCTTTCTTTAGCAACATGACACTCCTCACCTCCAAAACAGGCGACAGGAGCAATGGCGGTTAATACACTACCCAGGGTGTAAATACATGGCTCTATCCTAAAAGGGCGACTCGGACGCGCACTCAGCACTATCACATTGTCCGCTCACCTTACCCGGGCCTTTGGAGCGGTTGAACTAAACGCAAGCCGCGGTCCACCCACGCTGGGCACAGCTCAATATGCCCCCCCCCCCCTCCAACCACCCCTCCGCCCCCGCCCAAGAGAAAAAACAAAAGGACATAAAATGATGGGTGGGATCCTTCCCATATGGCAGTGACTCCCAATCCATCCAAGGAAAATGTCAATGGTGATCTCACCATACTTTAACATAAATACCCCCCCCCCCCCAAAAAAAAAAAAAAATGTGGATCTTCAGAATGCATGCCATCATTCAGGAAAATAAATATTACATATTTTAATAAAATCAAGGATCTTTGTACTCCTAATGCATACAAGCATTTAAGCAAAAAAAGAAACAGAAACATAGTAGGCTAATGACCAATAATATTTAAAAACAAAAACCAATACCAAAACAGTATAACTCAAAACTATACAAAAATGAAGTCACAAAACCTTTAAATCTGATTGCAATGTGAAAGAAACTTTCCACGCCTTCTGAACCTCATTGTAAAGTAGGACACACTGCTCATTTGCCTCCTTAAGTTCCTGCTTTAGTTCCAAAACCTCCTGTTTCAGATCCTGGATTTCCTTTTCCTTCTCATATAACTCCTTCCGTGCATCGTTTGCCTGCAAGAACATCACAAATTAAAGAATTAGCACGTTCCACAATGACATCATCCATGAAGAGATGGCATGAAACTTTCAAAATATGGCATACATAAGTAAAATGGTTGTGCATCTAAAAGGTCACCTTTCCAACAGTAACTCAAAGATAGAAAAAATTGTTGAGTGTAGTCACACATTAGTTAGGAATAATAAATATAAAAGGCATATAAGTGATGCAGGTCAACTATACTATTGGATAGTGACTAGTCATTTTTGGCAATTGTTGGACTTTATTACAAGCTCAACTTAATTTATACACTCAAGCCCCTTTGTCTTTTGCCACCTCCTTCCTATTAACCCAAAATTATAACATGTATCAATGCAAGTCTGATCTGGTTGTCTGATTTCCGTCTGGATGTCCAGTCCCACCGGCTTGGCCAGGTATCCAACTGCATTTCTAAGGGAGTGTGGGACTTTATTTCAAGTGGCTAGTCATTTTGGCAATGGCTGAACTTCATTACAAGCCCAAATTTAATTTATACACTCAAGCCCCATTGTCATGTATCACCTCCTTCTATTTATTCAAAATTATGGTATCAGAGAAAGACTAATCTTGTTGTCCGATTTCCTGTCTAGATGTCCAGTCCCACCGGCTTAGCCTGGTATCTAATTGTGTCTGAGGGAGTGTTGGACTTTATTTCAAGTGCATGTACCAAGTGGATGTACTTGTCACTCGAGCAGGAGTGTTGAATGTTATCTCATATTAGTTGGGAATGAAAAATACAAAGGGCGGCCAGCTATCCAATTGGGTAGTGACTAGTCATTTAGGCAATGGTCGGACTTCATCACAAGCCCAAACTTAATTTACAGACTCAGGCCTCATTGTCTTTTGCCAACTCCTTCCTATTAAATCAAAAGTATAACAAAAATAAATTAAAAGCAAATGGAACCGAATTAGTAGAATGGTAAGATGCGAAGATAGGATAAAAGTCATTCATGAGAACCCATAGAAATTCATCCCTGGTATTTCCATTTTCTTTCCTTTCATTCATACACAAAGCAAAGGGCCTACAACTGTTTCTGGGAATATGTTGGCTATAGTTAGCAATATTTTTCCCATCCATTTACTAGTCTTCATAAATTTTTTGCTTTGCATAATGGTCTACTTTTTTCCTCAGTGACACTAGTGTCTTGTCCCAGAAATTTAATTTTTATTTATAGGAATCATAATGACCAGGAGATGAAAAGGCTATCTTTATTATATTTAATCACCTTGCTAAGATATAAAGAAGGGTTTTGTGCTTCGATTTTTTCCATTTTTATTAAATTCAGTCCCTTGAAATTGGAACCTCATGCAGCCAGACAAGTCCTTCATGTAGCTCTCAGTTTTGTCAAAATCCTCAGACGCAATTCCAAGACCCTCTCATGACCAGTCCTTTCACTTGGCCAACATAATTCAAGAAATTAAAAGTGTTGCTCAACATAAGAGCTTTTATTTGGTTTATAGTTCTCCATAAGGTGAATGCTATTTTTGTATTATAGTAAAGAAGGCCTAGCAAAACACTAAAATCTTCTCATTGGTGCGTCATTTTTAGGAAGCATATAAGGTCATTTTCAAATAACTTTACATTATGAGGTGGTTCGCACAATGTAGAATCATATTTTCGGTGTTTTTGAGGAGCGTGGAAATGTCAAAATTTTTGTGGGTTTAAAATAGAAAAGGTTTGAGATAGGAGATATTCACAATTCTTTATTATCGGTGCTTCTTTATGTAGTATCAAGGAGTATTTGATGGATGCAAATGCGCATATTTCAAAAATCAAAAATCTGGCCATTAATCTGCTGTGTGGAAAGGCAGTTTGCAGCTTCCATGGACTCATACGAGCTTTTCAGGGGGGCACCTCTAAATTTTGTTACTATTATTTAGCTTAATAGGAGGACAAAAATTGTTTTGTCTTTCTTTTTTCTTTTCTTTTTCCACATGTAGTTGTGCAAAGGGAAAGAAAGGAAAAAAAAAAAAAAAAAAAAAAACCTTTCACTTGGCCCAACATAATTTCACAGAGAATTTTAAAATAGGGGTTGCTCCAACTCAAGAGCTTTCTATTTGGTTTATTAGTTCCCATAAGGTGAATTTGCAATGATTTTGTATTAGTAAGAAGGGCCTAGCAAAACCACTAAAAATCTTCTCATTGTGGGCGTCATTTTTTAGAAAGCTAGTTAGTTTGAACGAGCGGTTCATGTTTTTCAAATTTAATCTTTGTATGCAGTTTTGATGATGAAATGGGGGTGGGAGAGGTTTCTGCGCTCAATGTAGAATACAATATAATTTCCCTCCAGGGGTTTAGGTTTATGTCGAGTTTGGAGGCGCGGTGAATGTGTCAAACAGTTTGCTGGTTATACGTGTTTAAAAATCCTGAGGAATAGAAGAAAAGGGTTTGGAACTCTGATGGTGAGAGGAGGTTCACTATTTTACACAATTTCTTTTTACTCCCATTTAATCAAGAGATGCTTCCTGTTTAGATGTAGGTGGACCTCGTAAGGGTATTCAGTGATAGATGTAGGCATGGACACAAAGGCGCGGACATATTGATTGTCCCAAGAGCAACAAATGTTCACAAGAATCTGCGGCCATCATGTATAAACATCTTTAGCAATGTGATATTGTTTAAAAGGAACTCTTATAGATTAATGACAGTCTTTCTCCCATATGGAATCTTCATTATCGAGACCTATTTCTATGTTGTGTGAAATAGGGTAAACCGATAACTAAATTATAAATGATTTACTATTAGGTTTAGGTTTATGTAGGAGGACCAAAAATTGTTTCTCGCTCTTTTAGCTCTTAATTTTATCTTTGCTCTTATTTTATGACCGACATAGTATGTGTGCAAGAAGGAGAAAAGAAAGCAGAAAAAAAAAAAATAATAAAAAAATAGAAGGAAGATGAAAAGCTGTTGAGTCTCATACGATATTATGATTCAACGTAATAGACATATAAAATAATGTCATCTCCTTCTCTTTCGAAGATAGCCTTATTGATAATTACCTTGGACTTGTTGTGCTTTGCAAACTCTCAAGGCCATCAATTGTTTGAAATTAATATGGAAAAGAACGCGTTTTAATTGTTATATACCAGAATAGAAGCTATACACTTGCTTAAAAACAAATAAAACACTATTAAGGGAAAAACAAAAAAATGACCAAAAATAGCATCAGTAGATAAACAAGAACTACCACATCGCTTCTCCGATGATTCTAGATAGAATTGTGTGTCGCATAATAGCTGCACCCTCGACTGTACACCCAAGGCTAACCTACGGCCGTAGTACCAATTTTCGGAGGCTCTGGGAACACATATAAATAATATAAGGGATAGTAGATTTGAGTTCTCAGACAAGGTTTGTCTAAGCATTGGGGACACACATTCAGGTATTCATGTCAAAGTTTTGTTTAGTCCCGTGTCCACAAGGATGAGTTCCACTCGTTATACAGCAAGACAAAATAGTGAGTTTTACACACATTTGAGAAAATCTTATGTATAATTTTAATAATAACATATATTTTATCAACTCAGTTAGCAAGAATTTAATTAATGGTATAAATATTAAAGGACAAAAAAAGAAGAAAACTTAAAGAAAAAGCAAATGTGGAAAAAAAATGAGACAGGAAAGTTCTAGTTATAATTTTAGGAGATAACATATATTAAATTAAATAACTCAACATAGCAATAGATAAACCTCCTTTGTAGAAGTATTAAAGCAAAGTAGGCCAATTTACACAAAGCTAAACATAATCAAGAAATCTAGGTTGTAATCTATTAAGATGAAAAACACAATACAGAGAAATTAATGTCAGGAACCAAAGAAAACTATGTATCATAGTAGTTGCAGGTTAGGTACTTGAGGAGGTTATTATGCATTCGGATAATTTCCCTTACTCCCCCTGGGGTGGTATTTCATTAGTTCATTAATGTCAAATTTCCTTGGTTTTGGAGGAGTTTAGATTTCAAGTAGGGGAAACAACTAAATCTATATATTTGGTCTTAATTAAAGGCATCTTCACTCAAATGAAAGCTCTATCATTTGTTTGCCATTTTTCAGATAGTGATTTCCTAAGATATTCTGAACAGCCTGTACAGCCGGATATTTTAATCATTAAATAACCTATCCTGCTACCAATTCCTACCCATTTGCGCATATGTATCCCCAAAAATAATATATTGGAATTAATGATCGTAAATGGATTTTAAGTAATAAATAACTGGGCAAGCTCTAATGTATATGTACCTGGATTGAATCATACAATGACAAATTCTAATCCTCAATAAGCTTAAAAATTTATTATATGCTCAAGTGGCAAAGCAGATCTGAGATAAACATATATTATACATATTCAAAAATCTACCCAGACCCACTATATTTTTGCACGTCGACTGTTTCTACACAAATTGCTGAACTTTCATGTTTAATTAGGCTGCCACAGACATCAAAATATCTGTCTTATGTTCACAAGAGTTGTTGATACCTTTCAGGGAGTGAGGTTGTCAGAATTATTTATTTAGAGCCTTTTGTCGTTGGAGGCACATACAATTAGAATTCTCTTCGTTCCACTAAGGAGAACATAAGTGATCTCAATTTCCTATGAAAGGTCAAAAGTATAGAACATTTTTCAACATCTCCCAACCCTGTCAAGAAGGGAAATGGGTGACAATACCATATTAGGTTTCACTTGGAATGAGACTTCATCAAAGGGTAAAAATCAGAAAGCACCTGTTAACAAATACAAGTGCCTTAAAATATCCATGATCAGCTGAAAAGGATCTTAATAACAGACCACCATCGACCATGCTTACATATACATACGCTTGTAAAACTGATACTAAAAAGACAAAGTTAGAGAATATGCACAAGGTTTAAAGTCTTATTTATTTTTGGTTGGACTTACTGCCAAAAGTTTAGAGTTATAGTTATAGGATTTTATGATACTCTAAGTGAAATATTTTCAGGGAGAGATAATAAAGACCTACAATTCCAAACCGGGCATCATGA